TTCAGATAAAATAACAATCTTGTACTAAAGTCTGATTATGGAAGAAAAAATATAGTTACTACAAAATGTTAATGATGAGCATCATTAATATGTCATCCTATCTTTACATTGGTATGTTGCTTATTTATTATGAAATTTTTTAGTGAGTACATTAATTTTCTTTTTACAGTGATAAACCATAACACCGTTGATTAAAATTTAAAATAGATGATCGTTAACAGCCACTTATCCTAGCAACAACGTCACCCATCATGTTTAGATAAGATCTCGAGTTAACATGTCTGTATGCGTACATGTATTTAAATTGTATTAAATTAAAAGAAATTAAAATGGACGGAGGGAGGGGGTGAGAGAATGAAGAATTAAGAAGCTAGCTTTTGTGAATATGAGACAAGGCAAGATAGAGCTGGTCAAAAAAAGACAAGGCACGATAGATTGTTAGATACTTAGAGATATGAAGAAGTGCATTCATTTTGAGTCCCAAAATAAAAATAAAATAAAATAAAAGGAAGTGTCCCCATTTCACCAACCCCGGTTACGTTTCCATGCGGGTCTCGTAATGGCTAGCTTTTGTGAATATGACTCTCTTTTTTTCCTTTTTTTTTTTTAAACTAAAAAGGGTGTAAGCATGACATATAAAACGCCTTAGTGACGGTTTTGTCTTCCTTAAGGACCACTCCGCGTTTCTGCCTAACTCCCATTGTTATCACCATCACCTACCATTTCCCATTGATCTGACCTCACGCGCGTTTGAATATTATAAATCAATTTCACATTTCAGTTTATGTGAAATCCAGACACAACTCTGTGTTTTATCCCTCTCTGTTCTAATCATATGGTGAAGATGATAATGCTATGATAATGTTTCGTAATTAATGAGAGACGCGGATCTAAAATGTGAAAATGAATGGAAATCAAAAGAGAAAAATGGCTTGAACATTTTTATATACAGACAGAGATTAATATTAATAATAAATTAGAAAATGTGCAGTCGACACGTCATCTGCATAATTGTGTGCAATAATTCAGTGGATCCGTGATTTTGTCTTGGTTCGTGAACATTCATGTTGGTGCCTGTCATTCATGAAGCCTTTAATTACAAATTAGGACCAACTTCTTCTTCTTCTTCTTTTTGCCAAAAGATTCTCTTTTCCACAAGAAACGTATAGTTACGTACCAAATTATGCCTACAATATTTGGAAGATTCATTTTCTTAATGTGTTGTTAACAATCCTGTCTGGCAAATCAGGGGTACAGCATCATTGCCCTGGCCCTTCGCCTGTTCCTGCCTTTTTTTCCCCGGGTTTCTTGTTTGCTTCTTTTTTTTTTTTTTTTTATTGTTTTGAATTTCAGCCCTTGGGTTCCTGGCACTTTAACTTGTTTTTTGGTAAAATATAATTAGGTGAGTTAGGTTTTAAAAGCTTATCAGGATTTAAGCACGCCTTCAATTTTAAAAAATACTTGCAGAGATACTTACAAATTGTTCACTAATAAGATTCTTATATCGGCACTAAAATTTAAATTCACAACCTTATAGATTATGAACGAACTCTTTATCATTGGGATGATGGTGACAATGTATTTGGCAGCCATATCAAACGCGTAGGATTCGGATTCTGTCCACCTCCACCGCTTCCCCTTTTCTCCCAATCCTTTTTTCAAAAAAATAGTTTACATAAATTATTTTATTATCCTAAGGGAGATGGATGTGTCAATCATACTGTTATTTATTTATAAATTTATATTTTAAAATAAGGTATATCACATTGATATACTTTTAGCAAGAAATAAAACATTTTCATAGTCATACATGCACTTATATAATATAAAGCAAGTATATTTTTATATATGGTTAAAATAAAATAATTTGATACTAATTCTAAACTTTTAACTTAATCCATTATTTCAGCATAATAATTAGAAAATGATCTTGGGCAAAAAGAGTATAATTAATATTTTCCTCCTCTTCTTTTTTTTTGTGAAAAAATGGTGACTGTGTCCGGCTTTCCCTCATTGGCGCTTGGCCACTCATATTCCTAAGAAAAGGGGGGGGGGGGGGGAAATCACGAAGCGGAAAGGAAAAATAAAAAGGAACGAAAGAGACGTCCGACGAGCCTGTATCTTACCTACCACCGAGCAAGAATGCGGCAATCCTAAATCTATAATTTATTCTCAAAGCCTCACATTTTATTTATAATTTTCATTAAATCGGGTGATAAACATCCTCCATTTCTTAATTTTACCTTTCCTTCTTGCCGTTACAGTTTGCGACTCTGCTTCCATCTATGCAGTCTCACGCCATGCGAACGAGTTTTTTTTTTTTTTCCTTTTTCTTTTTCTTTGGGGACAATACACTAATTGAAATATTCTACCTGCTGGAGCCGAATTGGCATGTTGTGTTTGTTGGATGAGATGGTGTGTACATAAATATAATTTTTTAAAAAAATAAATTAAAGGTCAACAAAATTTTGGAAATGGGAAATGATGTTTGTACCTTAACCCCGCATATATTGTTTAAGTCTTGTCTGCTAACTCAAATATCTTTAAACTAAATTAAGTAGATTAGAAAGTTAATTAAAATTAGTTAAGAACAATAAATATGAAAAAATTGAAAGTTTTTTTTCAAAATATTTTTATTTATGTGAGGAGAGTATAAAAAAGAGAATAAAAATTATTATAATAAAGAGAATTATAAAAAAAAAGAATATATGATGAAGAGAGATTACATTAAAATATAATTTTTACAATATTATCATCCATGAAAAAGTATTTTGGAAACAAAAAATAAATACTCGTAAGGCGCTGCTTGCCTTTTTTGGACCTTTTCTCTTTCTTCTTAATTCCTCAAAGCGCCCCTTTAGCTGTCTCAGCTCCACCCTTTCAACCTCTACGGCTACTCATAAACCTTATCCTAATAACTGATGACAGCCCTACATTTGTCCACTCTATATTTGTCCAAATCCTCCCTACTCGTGGAAGGCGTGGATTCAATCTTATTGACTTTCAACTAGTTCAGCTTGCTCCTTTATATTTGAAAAAAATAAATCAAGTGATATATCCCCAAAAGAATCGTCTAGTCTTTTTTATTAAATCAATAACAACGAAATTTTTAATTAAATTTAACCGGAGTGAATAAACTCAGTTTTTTTTTTTTTTGGGGTTTCTTTCCATCAAACGCAAGAATGAATAAAGTGGATAAACAAATGTTGAGGAGAAGCATGGGTTAAAATTGAATATAAGCAAAGAATTGGTGAAGCGTGGTGAGGAGATTTTGGGGGTTGGATTGAATATTTGAAAGAAGTGAAGTGGGTGGCAAGCTTAGGTAAAAGGAGCATTCCAACTACTGCACCATGACCAGAAGCTGGGCTTGGCAATTGCCCAATCACGTGGTCGGGTCGGGTTAGTTATACGTCCGTGTTTACCCAGAAAACGAAAGAGAGAGAGAGAGAGAGAATAATTAATTATTGCACTCACTATACGACGACACGTCCCCATGAATAATTAATTAATTATACGTAGTACATCGTAAACCAGATCAGAGTCATCCTGGTTTACCAATAGCACGTGCTTAATAATGTGGCCTTCCTGTGGATCTACCACTCCCCTCTTACTAGGTGATATGGATCATCAGTTATCACCCATCACCACTTTAATTTTAATGCGCCGGACGAAGGCAAGTGTCAGTGGGTCACTAGTTGTTGGACTTGACTGGTTGGATTTCAATAAGCGTTGCCGCCTTCACATTCGCCCATTGGTTTAGAGACATTTTCTCGTGTTTATTATAAAAAAATTTCTTTATGCCTCATAATACAATATACTACATTCAATGTTTAATGTAATACTCAGTACACTAATTTAAAAAAATAAATAAAAGAGTTATTTTTCTGGTCCTATTTATAAGATAAAAAGAGAAGACATTTTTTTGTCCTATTTATAAGGCACAAAGAAATTTTTTTTTATGAATGTACAATTTTACTCTTGATTTATTATTGTACTGATTTTTTTATATGAGATATAATGTATATTACATAGAGATAAATTTGAAAAGTTAAATTTTAAATGAAATTTAATAAAATTTAATATTTTTCTTAATATATGTGAAACATATTGGAAATGACTTATAAATAGAGACAGATGAGTAGTAAATTACTTAATTATAATATATGTTACGTTATTTCTTTAAAATAGTTATGTACATCATTAGATTATATATCAATTTATATGAGATAAATTAACTTAAAAAAAAGATAAATATAAATATTTTAAAATAATCTAATAACTTTATTAATGTTCTTAAATTAGTCATTTAAATCTTATATTAAAAACCAGATGTAGTAATATATTTTGTTTAATATATTTTTTACTTGGGATTTCTAACCAATCATAAATTTTTTAATTAAGTAACCGAACTTTTTTGGCTACTAAATTTTATTTAAAAAAAATAGGACGGAAGGGAGTAAATTGTAAGAGCAGTTGATTGTATGTAACATACCATTCCTTTTTGTCCTAAATATAGTTAGTTAATTTATACATTAAAAAATTTAAGTAAATTATTTACAAAAATTATGCACTTTTCACAATATCATCTGCAGTAGTTGTGATGTCATCAACTTAATATATACTACTTCCGCTTCTAATTATAAAACCTTATTTATAGACTATAAATAAAGTTTTATAATTAAGACTGGAGGTAGCACATCACAACAATTTAATTACAAAGGCAGTTTGAGAAGAGATAATAAAAATGTGAGAAAAAAAGAAATCAACGTTTTGTATTTACGACAAAAATAAACATTCAAGATAACAACTCCCCTTATCATTGGAGAGAGAAAAATTAATTTAAGACCTCATGGAAACTTAACATGTCTTGCTACTTGACGCTGAGCCAAACGGCTACATTATGAACCATGATTACGGACAGTAGTTTAGACACTTCATATGGAGCCGAAGGAGAGAGATAAGTTATCATCGGCTACGTCACTACGCGCACAGCCGTGAAATGCATGATAGGGTGCCTGGTGTTAGTTTATTCATTGTCCGCTAGCGGACCCAATACTTTAGTTCATTTTTTATAACACGCTCGCAGGCACTGGACAGAGGAAAGCAAAGAAGATAAGCAACAAAACTGAAGCAGTCAGTCTACAACTAACCATTTTCCCCTTTTCATTTGCTGCAATTACGTAAGCAATTGTTATTCGATGCATAAAACATACAAGGAAATTAAATCTGCAGCAAGGAATATGGTTGAGGGAGACAAAGCAGCACGGGCAACATACTACGAGTTATTATAGGGCGCTGAAGAGAGATTCCTGCGTGAACCACTGCCTTCGACACTGCCACATGGCTGCCTGGATAACCTGCGCTTGTAGCGTTTGAGAACAGAGGCCACATTTTCCTTTCCTCTAGGGAAAGCTACATCACCCGCGGTGGTTCCTGTTCGTCCTTTACGACCAGAGATTGCAATTTCCACATCCTTTATGAGTTCAAGGATCATTGATGCAGTGGTGAATTTCCCCCTGCCGGCTTTTGCGGCAGGGGGAGGGGGCAACACTCCATTTGAGAAAGTAGGGCTCGACTTTTGCTGGTGTGCTGCCGGAATTTGTAGACAAAAGCACGGGGGCATCACACTACGAGGCTTTGAAAAAGCAGGATCAATTACCCCCTGCAAATAAAAGTAAAATCAATGAGAACGCCCAGGGAATACAGACACCAAGGATGAAATGAGAAAAACCAGCTATGTCAGCAGATTATGGCATGTAACAAATATTCCAATTATTATGTATTTAGTCAACACTCATACAGCAAGAATCCACAAACCACAGACTAAAACTTAACTGACTCCAAATGAAAAATATGGCAAATTCGTCAGGCATTTACCTGGAGGCGGTTGAGTACAAAGGTGTATTTCCCCCACAGCTCAGGGCGGCTCTCCATAAGTAAAAGCTCAAGGATACGGTGAATACACCACACCCCAAAGCTTATTATCAGGTCAGGTCTCCATATACAGCCCTCCCCACAGTGAGGAACTGATGTCACTGAAAAATTAAAGGAGTTTGTCTCCCTAGTCTCAACTTCATAGAGGAATTTCTCCCTTGCAGCTACACGATCTATTAGGTCCTCATCAACCCCGCCATTCTGTCTAAACAACCAATCAGACCCTTCCAATTTTAGAAGACCAAGAATGCATCGTCTAAAAGACTGAAGTTTCACCTCCATATCAACAACTGAAGCTGTCTCTTGAGATATGGAACTAGGCCGAGTTCCAACACCCTCCATTCCCATATCATGGATCTTACCTGCTACACCAAACTGCTCGAAAGGCTGTTTTGACCAGAGAGATCCAGTATCAGAATCAGAACCCAATTGTGATGAGAGGGCATCTCTGTAGTCTTTTGATGGGGAAACATCATCAAAGGCCAAAGGGGCACCTCTTCTGGATCCCGAATTTGAATACAGTGGTTCATAACCAGTTCTAGTAGACCCATATACAGAACCCTCAAATGCGGCATTCTTATCAGATGCATAAACACCCCTGCAGGGTATAGCATAACCTGAAATATCTGGCAAGCTGTGGTATTTCTTCGTATTGACTGAACTGCCTACACTATCCGCAGCTCCAGGAAAGCAAAAATCATAGCAAGATGTCTCAGATGGCAACGTGGAGTTTCTAGATATTCTGACATTTTCAAATCCTGGGGGTCGAGCTGCACCGACACCATTTTGCAGTTTTTGGCCCGAAGCAAATGTATATGGATCCCTGTAGCTTGCATTAGTGCCTGTTAAAGGAGATTTTAAAGATGACAATTTGCCTTGACCATTTAAATTATCTGGAATTCTGTCTCTTCCAACTCGACTAAGGTAGGATGCAATTTGATAACCATGAACTGTTGCAGGCTGACCATCCCAAACCTCAGATGAAGGGAGACTGCGCACACTGGAATAGCGCCTCTCCCCAGAGTCAAGAACCTTGCGGCTGGAGTTCTGCACACACGCATCTAATAACCCAGTGGGGTTTGCCCGAAAAGATGAGGAACCCCTCTGAGGGCCATATGAAGATTCAAAAGAACTTTGTATCCTGGGAAACTTGGGAGAGTCATAAAGACCAGAGTTCATCAAAGTATCTGATGCTCTACTTCCTACAGACGCTACATACTCAGGATAGTCATTTCCAGATGCATTCACTTTCGGCAAGGAGCCGGAGAATCTCAAATCTACACCAGACAAGACATCCAATTTTTTAGCCTTTGCATCCTGGGTTGGTTGTCCATGGTAATCATACAGTTCTCCCCAAAAATCATTGAGAATAGTAGCTAGTTGACGCCTTGCAGCCCGTCCTAAGCCTGCTAATCTTGATAGACTTCCAATGCTATTCCCCCCTTCATCACTTTTCCAACTAAGAGTCCTGAATGATCCAGGGCCATCAGATGTTGACGATGGAGCTCCTGCGGTAGCCACTTTGGATGATTCTTCAGCTTCCCAAGAGTCTCCATCATCATCATCCCTCTCAGCATTCGTATCTGCCTCAACTTCTGCTGTCTTCTTGACTTGGGCAATTGCTTCCAGTTCTTCAGTTTTGATGGTCGCCAATCCGGCATCAGAAATCTCATTTGTAACAGTTGATAATGCTTCTGAATTTGGAGGGGAAACAGATTCCTTAGCAAGATAACCAGGGGGGCTAGGCAACTGTGTAATGGAATGACTCTCTTCTTCAGTAGTCACAGGAAGCCCTGAAGTCCCTGAATCTCTTGCTAGAGTTGAAGATGGTTCCTCCACATTAAGAGATGCATCCCTATGACATCTAGTTTCAGTCAAGTCTGACTCCTGACTCTCGATTGGTGAAACTTTTGTGGCCTCTGCCTCATCAGAGTTCCAAGCTTGAGCATCTAAATGGGCACTTGTAGATTTTAGAGGTGTGATAGCTAGCCAAAGCATGAAGCCAAATAATACACAAGCTGTGAAAATAAGAACTGACATGCCACTACCCACATTCCATCTCAAATAATCCACCCAATTGCTACTGCCAAATATCATTTCTACCACAAAGATAATATTTAACCCAAGTATCCCAATAAATACTATCAATGCCAAAAATTCCACGAATTGAGAGATCTTGTGTACACCCATTATCGATTTAGATGTACTGATTCGGAAAAGCGGGATCACAGAAGATGGAAGTTGCAAAGCTGCCACAACCTGAGTGAATACAAGCAGTTGATACATCCCTTCAGAACCTGCACTCCAAACACAATAAAGGGCAGGAAGAACAGCAATCACCCTGATTGTAGCATAATGAAGCCAGCCTGGAATGTCCAGTTTCAAAAAACTATGTACAACTACTTCTCCCCCTAAACTCCATGCCAATGCTGTGGCCTGATTTGAAATAAACAAAAAGAGAAGAAAGGCAGGTAGTGCCATTGGACTCTGCAACACCTGCAATGAGAGTCTCAGATCCGTTTAGCAAGTAAAAGGCAAATGTGATAGTGTAACCAAAAATTTTAACGTAAATTAAGCAAGGAGGGAAATTAGACCTGTTCCATTGGTGATAGTGCGTCCTGAAGAGTAAGCAAAACAAGACCAGTACCATGGAACTCATTTGCTGCAGCGCCCATCATCATATTGTATATCAAGTAAATGCCACTGAAGGCACAAAAGATTGCTAAAAAATGGTTATGACACGTAGCGTCCTTAGAAAAATTTACTGATCCCTGATGCCACTGCACAAAAAAGGTGGATGAAGTTTCAGATTGACAGGCCTATAACCAAGATCAACAACTGCATCAATATGAAGTAGCACACAACGTGCATTCTTTTCCCTCCTAGGCCTGCGTATAATGAGAAGTTTGAAAAGGAAAGCAAACTTAAACTCATCACAAAAACTCCAATAAAAAGGTGCTCTATTTTGTTTTTTTTTTTTTTAATATTGCTTGTTAAGAAAAACTTAATACTCTAACTTAATTAAATTCTGCACATGTAACGATACTATATTGTGCAGTCCACTGCTTTGACTTTTTTGCAGTCAATGCCAGAAAATTTACTTATTCAGGATGCGCTTCAGTTAAAGGGGATGCCTTCATAAAATTAACCGTTAACTTGATATTAAGTAAAAAAGGTCTGTCAAGGCCATGCTGAAAACTATTTCAAAATCTTACAATGCATGTAATATATAGTTATATACAATTAGCATGAGTTCCATGTGTTGTGCGTAGTTTGAAAAATAAGCCACACTATTTATGACTAATGAATAATATGGCTTCTTAAATTTATGTATGCACGCATGCATGTATGTATTTGAGAAACAGACAGGTGCGGCTAGAAAAGTAGAAACCGCGTCCAAAATACATCCCATTTTTATTATAGCTGCAGATAATCCCACAGAACTGTTGTTTTGCAACCCGTAAACTACAATTTCATCCCTTTTTTAGGTGAAAAGTCTAAAATTTGAGTGTAACGTCCTAATTGCAATAACCACGGATGTAGAAATGAAGCCACATCAATGATACTTTCTCATATGAAAACTCTAATGTCAGATGGAAACAAGACTATTAACATCTTAAAATGAATGAAAGCAAAGATCTCAAAATATAACAGGTTTTCTGAAATGAACCAAACTACTTATTGTTAGAACATTGATATTTTTCATCAAGCATTCATTTTAAAGGCATAGAACATTCAAGCTGAATCAGAAACATGCTTAAAAGGTAACTACACTGGGTATGCAAGAAATAATAGTATGAATAACAGCAGGCATGAGTATATGGTTCAATGGAGACGAGCAAAACATGCCAAGAGAGGGGACAGTAAATCAGATGAAGGAAGGTATGCTTCATCAACCTGTCCTCTACATACTAATTGCACATACATGAATGCAATATGATAATCATTCACTATTGCTTCTTCTGAGATAAAACCATTCATTTAAACCAAACTCAAAAACACCACAAAACTTCACGTTCAAAGAAGCTTTTCTAATCATGTTTACATGCTGAAAAATTAGACCAACACACCTCAGTTACCAATAAAAACTATTCCTTGTCTTGCCTTCTTCTTCTACTCCCCCCCCCCCTGTCTGTGTGTTGTCTATGATACTAGAGTATGAACATCATAGCAATAAGAACCAATAATCGTATTTCGAAGAATATTGTAGAATAAAATTCAGACTGAACACTCCCAGTAAATGTAAAGACTCCAAGTGAAGAATATATTTTAGTTTAAGCATTTAATAGCGTAGCTGCATCACAGAGTTTTTTCACCGTTCCTATGCCTGCTGATAGCACTCAGCTACCCTGTCTAGGACTAGATCATGGCACTTCTAGGGTCAAAAAAGCCAAATCATGACCCTGATAATGAATGGTACACTGCCTCCAAACAAATTGCGTTGTTACCAAGACTGTGACTTCCATTGATTCAGACCGCACGTTTGTATATATTTAACTCCCTGTGCAAAATAAGTTACTCCAAATTTGATGATGCAATAGTCGCACGACTAAATCATCAATCAGTAACTACTCAGAATAAAGTGATCTTGGCCAAAGTCTAGAAAGTAAGATGATTAATGGGGGGCTGAAAAAGTACAGCCTTTAGCTTGTTTGAGGAAAAAGACGATATCATAAGTACAGAATGATCAGCACTGCCCAATACACGAGATGCACATATTATGTACACACTTTTTTAAACATGGCAAGATTGGAAGAATGGATATGGATGTTCTAATACGTATGTATATAAGAACTGTGAGAATTGGAAAGAATCAGTACCTGTACAACAGAGGAATAAAGATAAAAGTTGTGGGGTACAAGAGTCGCTCCCAAAAGACTCATAAGCACAAATGCACTCTCCCCACTCAACTTTGTTAGTACTCCACTTGTGGATACAGGAATTTCAGGTCCATTTATTGTTATCCCAAAAGCAACAAAAAGCAGTACAAAGCCAGCAATAAAGAGGCCGAGGACTTTTGCCTTCCCATTATCCTAGACAGAAGGAAATTTAATAAGTCTCTGTTGATCAAAAAGTGATGAATAAACAATTAATAAGACTTACAAGAAGGATGGCAGGAAGTAAGTGAAAAGCAGCACTTGCAGCGGCCAACAAGACACAGGTGAACAAGTCCCACCCAAAAATTAGATTTAATAGGTGAGCCATGCCCAGGATCTTGCAAAGCAAGTAAAACTATTGTCAAAGCCCAACCAAAAAAAAAAGGAATATAACAAGTTACAGAAGCCAAATCTCAAATGATTAGAAAGAATGGGATTATTACCACATTAAGGTCTAGCATAATCACTGAAAGTTCTGTTTGAATTCCAAGGAATATGCATGTCCGTGCGCCATACTCATCCCCGCAAATCTTTGACACAGAATGGAAAATTAGTCTATAAGCATTATGCACCAACCAATTGTATGCATGTTCTAGATTTGCTCATGCAGGCACGTATTTGGTCTGAGTCTATGTCTGTTATTGTATTTCAAGGTGGAGATAGATAAAATTCAGAATTTAAGCTTACCACCACGTCCCCCCCCCCTTCCCGGGTCCAAAAAACAAAAAAGAGAGACAGAGACAGAGAGAGAGAGAAAAAACAAAAACAAAAGAACAGAAAAGAAAAATCCATATTCAAGGTAACCATCAGATGGAATGTTCCAGAAGCACTCAATTCGGAAAAACAAAATTTGAGAAATTAAAAACAAACGCAACTGGGAAGGATCTCCTTATTCTCTACAATTCATTTTTAATATGAATGAAACAACTAATAAGAGTTTTTTTTTTTTTTTTGGCTTCAAAACCATGCCCAAAGGGGCAGAATGCAACATAAAAAGGGCCTGTACTGAATTTCCTTAAACTTACAACTTAATCCGTTAAATATTAAAATATGTATTAGTAAATATGAAATCATCCAACTGACAGACATTGGTCATCGTGAAAGAGGTTACAATTACTTAAGAATGAAGTCTCTGTGTGAATATAAAAGATGCCTTTGGGAGAGTTACCTCTGTTTGGAGTCAAAATACTTGAATCTGACTTGTTAGGACGGACATCAAATACCATGCTTTTAAAAAAAAAAAAAAAAACAGATAGATGAAATCATCTAGTTCATTTAACATTGTGTCTACCAATCTTTGACCACACATATTATAAAAAATAAAATTACTTTAGTTCATTTTTTCCACTAATATGCACTGGAATAGGAAAGGTAAATTGACAATATGATACCTTTGCAAGATCTTTTCCAGTAATTACCCCAATCCTAGCTGATATGTACTGACATAAGATAGAAGCAAAATTGAAAAAAAGCATGAACGCCATCAGACCGAACCCAAATCGTGCACCACCTTCCACAGTAGCAGCCCACTTTCCAGGGTCAATGTATCCCACTGAAATCATAAGCATCGGTGCAACAACATGAAGGGATCGATGAAAAAATGAAGGCAGTTGGTTAGCGCTCATTGTCTGTGCCTCCATTTTATTGTTCATCACCTCCAACAATAGGAGTTTACAAAATTGTGATAGCACTTTGAAGTTGCAACATTCGCTACTAAGTCATATATCAATTGCATTGCTGTCATCCACTGGTTTTTTGATATTGCTAGTGAACACTTCATCCATCACCAGTCATTCATAGAAATGTCAACTGCTTCAATAATCAACTTTGACTTGTTGGAACTCTTCTGATAAAAAAGCTGAGCCTGTCAATAGCAATCACAAGTCACAATACTTTAACAATAGCTTCTCCTTGTATGCTGGCTCGTTATCTCACATTAACCATCAGATACCAATCAAGTGTTTTGAATCAAATCAACCGCCTTGATATTTCTATTATAACCCTGCTACCAATTTTATTGATGACCTTAAGTCCTAAACATGACTGAAAGTCAAACCAATTTATGATAGTCTTCTTTAAGACCTAGCCACAAAAGGATCCAATGATCCGTAATTGATCCATTCGCTGCCTCCTCAGACTTCGCCAATCCTGTAATTGATTGGTAAATGTAACTATATTATTACCAAAAAAGATAATGAAAGTACCACTCCTCCTATTGGAGAATACATATAGAATTGGATTTAAAAAAAAAAAAGGCCTAAAAAAAGGAAATCGAAGAGGAGACTTGTATGCAGTTTGAAACTCTGTTGTCACCTCAACGTTAAAAAAGGACAAAGTAGCCAAGTTGTACGAAGTACTCCAAAAAGTAAAAGGAAAATTATATCCAAATATCTGATCAGGCATCCTTACAGAACTCTTATATAACGAGCGTTAGCTTTAACAATCCCCATAACCACAGAAGCAAATATCAGAGCATCCCAGCAAAGTAAAAAAGAATGATCAAATTCTTACAAGGCTTCACAGAGAGGACAAAAATAAAAACCAGCAAAAGATGATCAAGTTCTGAAACAAAGGAAAACAACTTTCAGACACGAAAAAAATTGCAGCTCCCAAAGAAAGGGCAGAGGCAACTCAAAACCCTACATTTAAAGCATGAATAACTGAAAAAGAGAGAAAATGAAAACTTCACCTTGGATCTGATGAATGCCGATGAAGCTATTGCAGATGATTTTATCAAATAGAGACCGTACAAAGTAGCTAGGGTTATGAAATGTTGACGCCTTCCTGTTCGCCTGCAGTCTTCTTTCACTGCTGCGAGTAGATCTCAGAGAACCAGAATAACCCACTTGATCATGAGACGAATCATGAAATCCGGTATAATAATATTATATAAGGAGAGAGAAGAGGATAGCTCGATTTTCCGGGAGCAGAAAGGAAGTAAACACAAAATACTATGCGTTGAGTTTCGAAACCATAGTGAGCCGTGAGGAGAGAGAAGGGGCGAGGGGGTAAGGAAAATCAATATACTATACACATATATATAATTAAAATTGAAGATTAATATGTGTCAAATTAAAAACAAACTACTCTCTTCAAATTTGTTTCTCAATTATTAAATTCACTTTTTTTCTTATATTTAAAATTTTTTATAACAATTACTCATATAAGCTGCAATTTAACTAACTTTAAATCTGTATAAATTATTTATCCAGCCTTTTCCTGCCTGAATTTTGTTTGTTGTCTGAATTTGAAATGGCATGCAATTTTGTTTTGATGATATCTTATTGCTTTTACGTGGTATTGTTGCCCAGAATATTCAGGTCAGCCGCATATAATGTGTGTGTGTGTTTGATCTTTTCTTCTTTTTTTTTTTGGCCCCCTTTTTTCTATAGTAAGAATTTTTTTCCTTTGCAGAGCTGACTGGGCTGGGTGTTACGAATGGCATCCTTGTCTCTGCTACGTTAGCTATTCTTTCTCTCATACTTCATTCAAATAGTTATATTATTTTTGTAGGAGTCTCCCACCGACAAAACCATATTACGAATAATAAGTTGGAGATTTGGCCACTTCCTTTTGAGAAATGTAAAAATGATTAGATAATGTAATTTTACGTAATTTATTCTGTTAAGTCAATCCGTATGAATTTCTACGCGTAATTCATTTTTGTCAACTTTATCCTAGGTAGCTTTAAGGAGCTGCTCAGTTCTTTTACCTGACAAAAAATGTATGTGTGTGCATAACAGGATAATTCTTTTGTGAAAGACTAAAAATAGAGATTTTTAGAATCAATATAAAACTTAAAATTTATAACAAGTTATATGATTCATGAACGATAAAAAATATAACTTGTGTTGTCAAATTTAATTCATGTAACTAAAATAAATATCCATAACAGTTAAAAATAAAATGCTTCTTATTCCCTCCCATAAGCGCAGAAATACTGTGGGACTGATAAATAACGGAATTGTCATATTAGTTATTACTACGAATATACATAAAGCCTTTTTTTATTAAATATTACCTCTTTGGTTGTAATTATAAAACTTTGTTTGTAGTTTATAAATAAAGACTTACGATTAAAACCGAAGGTAGTATAACAAAAATCTTTTTTCAAAATTATAATTACTACCAAATTTAAAATGAAATAGATAGATGCATGACAAAACATGACGGGAATGTTTAGGTGAAAACCAAATCATGATTTTAAAAATAATTTTACAATATATAAAACAAATATATAAAAAAGTTTGTCTCGATTGAAGAAAAAATGCTTTTTAAAAATATTTCTTGGTATTTCAAATATCCGTAGATAGGTATGTATAAGCAAATTGTACTACATCTTATCATTGATCTAATTAAGACTAAGATTTTTGGCCAAAAAATTTAAGACTAGGATGAATGTATTTCAAAGATTTTGAGTTTTTACGATAGAAGTAATTAAAATAACTTGATTAGATGCATGATAATAAAGATCAAGGCTAAATTCTGATGATCTTTTGTTAGGGAGGCCGTCAATGGTGGTGATAAATGAACATCCTGGGTACAAAAATAGTATACACCGAATAAATTGATAAAAAAATCGTGCTTGCCTATTTATAAAAAGCATGATTAATTATAAGATTTTGTAATACTTCCTCTAGCTCTCCTTAATATAAAAACCAGTTTGATATTTACTTTGATCTTAAATATAAGACTCTAAATATATTTTTACCTTTCATATTTATTTATTTATTTTCTAAAGTAGTCTTTGTAGTAATTACATGTGTTAAAAATTTCATCAAAATAATAATTATAATAAATACACATAATTAATTTATTACAAATAATTAACTTGAATTAGTCAACTAATTTTATATTAAGTATTGAAGGTAGTATTATTTCGGTCCTAAATATAAGACCCTTATACATATTAGTATAAGGTTCTTATATTTAAGATAAAACTCTTATACATACTAATATAAGAGTTTTATATTTAAGAAGGAGGAGTATTTTATTATAGTTAAGGGCATAAATAATGTCACGGACTCACGGGCTTGAGATACGTGCAGTGAAATAATAATGCAATATATATTCTCGGCAGAAAAAAAATGACGAGTGACGACGAGTGACGAGAAAGCTCATAGCACATGACTTGGCGTGAATAAAAAAAAAGGTCGATGGCATAATTCAAAATCAAAGGATAAGTACGAGAAAATAACAAATAAAAACACATGCAGTATACCGGCGACCCAGTGACTAATCCCTTCGCTGGCTTGTAGGCACCTCGATGGGTGGGACAGCTGGCCCGGGGTTTTAAAGCTTTTCCATACCCAAGGTAAGGATCGAACCCTCGACACTTGGTTAAGGGAGGATGAGCCCCCACCGCTCAACCACACCCCCGGGTTAGCATGTAACAGTCTTTAACTAGTTGAGTTAACTTCTGATTCGTCTCCCTCTGTTTTTTTTTTTCCCCGGGGTGGATAAATTTGAGATTTAAGACAGTGAACAAGATCTCCGCCAAACCCGTCCCTAAAAAAAATTTCTTCTCACAACTCTATAATATAGAAGCTAATTAAAAAGTTAATATTGATTCTATATATAAAACTTATTTCACATGTTTATTAATTTTTTCTGAAATTAATCATATTAATATTTTCCTAATATATCAAGTAGGGGATGGAGGGAGAGAATTAAGGAATATTTTTAGAGTGTTTTGGAAAAAACATATTATATTAATTAATTTAACTAATATCCTTAATCTACTTAAATTAATTAATTAGATCTTATATTAAGAATCGGAAGAGTACTATAATTGATTAATTGTGAACAAATAATATTACCTTTGGTTCTTAATATAAGAGTTAGTTTAACATTTAATTTGGTCCTAAATATATAACTCCAATCCACTCTGTCTCTCATATTTATCTATTTTTTCCAAAACAGTTTTTGTAATAGTTGTATATGTTAATTGTTCTATCAGATTGTAAGTCTAACTAATATATATGATCAGCAATAGTATTATAGGGAAAACACATAATTATTAAAAATAACTAACTTAATAAATTTTCTTAGTCTGCTTAAATTAATTAACTAACTCTTATGTTAACGATCGAAGTTAATATGAAGTTTGGCATTACCTTTTAACCGTAAATTTAATTTATGCAATACAAATCCTCTCGGATGTTTAAAGCGTTAGAAAAGCAGGCTGCAGGCACAATGGGGGCATTCGAGCTTCTATAAATGATAACGCGTAATCATGTTAGTTAATTACTCGACTTATATGGTTTTATCATAAATGAGCATTATTTTTGAAAACAAAAATGCGATGGTTTGAAATCATACGGAGACAAACGATGGAGGAGTTCATTAAACGCGTACATCCTTCTCTAAACACATGCTCATGTCTAATATCTTAGGCAAAGTCCGTACCGGCTCATTTATTTAAATGCTTATGAGCATCCGACAAATTTTTTTTCATATACGTAACTTGTATAGTTACATAAATTACCCTTTTAAAACTGCCCATAAACCATCTCACTTCGTAAAATGGTGCAGACCAGCAGATGATTCTTGTGTACTACCTCATGATAAGATTTAGGGGGTGTTGGATAGAAACCAACCATGGTTTCAGAGTGCTTTTACGGATTACGAAGTAAATATGTGAAGGAGATTATCTCGTTTTGCGGAAAGTGCTTCTGAATCATGGTTTTGGGTTTCCCAAACCCCTTTAAAGTTTCAACAGGACCACTAGAGATATAATTTGTTTAATATCCTCGGTTATCGCTAAATTTTCAATAAACCATCTAAAATCTTCACCTATGATTAGTCAGGACTGCACTTCACTATATAGTTTTGTTTTTTGTTTCAGTTTTCTTCATTGACGTCATTTCATCTATTTCCCTCCTCCTTATTTTGGCAAGAGCATCACTTTCCGGTCATCAATTTTGGCAAGGACATTGAATTTGACACTTTTAACAGGATTCTGTGAACTCTATGGAACTCCTTTTTTAGAGAGAGAGAGAGAGGGGGGGGGAAGAAATTGTCAGTAACGTGGCTATCATTCAGTGCATCGCATTATAACATAAGGCATTCATTGAACCTGGCTGACTCCCAAACCTGAATTAATTCACAAACTTCACTTCATTATTCAAATACCTGTACTTGCTCATTTATTTATGTTAATGTACGCCACGACGTGATCCGTCTTTACGTTTATCAAACATTAAAAAAAAAAATTGTGGCGACAATGTCACAGATCCCTGCGCTGCTCACCGCATGCAACAACGTGGCCTGCCAAATCTGCTTGTGTTTTCGGCTCACCAGATTCATATTTTTAGGGCTCTGTGATCCATATATACAACTTTCCATTGCTCATGAGGAGTGTAACTGTTCATTACATTATTCCAAAACTCAGAGCTATCAAAATGGGTTGGTTGGGCCTCATGGGCTTGGCCCATATAGGCCTACTTCCATAAATCCAAATACTGTTTTTATTTTCATAAATCCAATATGAGTTAAATTTACTCTCTCACGCAAACCAAAATTCAAATTTCTATTGGGAGAGGTTTTTATATATACTGTCTCAAATAAAATTGCTTCCAGTAGAAAATGAAAATCTATAAGTGAATGTCTAAAGTACTCATTTGGTTCTTAATGTAAAACCTAATTAATTAATTTGAGTAGATTAAAAATATTAGTTAAATTATTTAATATAGTATTTTTAATAAAATACCTTAAGCATCTTTCTTAATTCTCTCCTCTTCTCTCCTATTAATTTAAAAAAAAAACATGTGAAATAGGTCATTAATATAAAACCAATATTAACTCTCAAATTAGGTCTTATGCTAAGAAAATAGCTAATAAAGCTTCAAAGTCTAGATCAAATAATACAACCACAAGTCTTTAGTTTGGATCATCATAAAAAATAACACATTCGCACCATTAGAAAGGATTTATTACTAATTTAATTGATTAGCATTTTATGTTAAGTTGTTAATTGTTAATTGTTCGAAGAAAGCGATCAAAATCATTCGAGTGCAAGTCTGCTGGTCAAACATGAGCCGATCATGAGTTAGCTTCAGCCAATGCATATTGTCAAGCTAAGGTCAATTGAATTAAATGATAAAATTATTCAATGCATATAATTCTCTAGTTGTATTTACAGGACTGAGAAAAGTTTTTCTTATTCTTATCTATAAGTTATTTTATTAAATTTTTAACATAAATATAATATTTTGTCATTTATTTATTATAGTGCAGGTAATTATTATTATTTTTAAAATGTCTATATACTAAATAGGAGCAAAATTGAAATTTTAGAATATTTTAAGAGATGGTTAATATAATTTAACATTTTTTTTAATTTGCATGAAACGTGTTAAAAATATCCTGTAAATATGATGGGAGAAGTAAGTGAATATAGTGGCCATCATATTTCGTGGGTATCTGTGGCATTTATAACTCTAGACATAAATATAATCGGAGGTTTGGAGCGATCAATTTGGCTGAGCTCAAAGAATTATGATGATGTTCATACCTTACCACTTTCTTCTAACGCCCAGTGCCAGAAGTTCCCAAGATAAGCAGATATCAAACCAAAACTTTAAAAAACAGGTGAAATCAGATCAGACACCGTGCAGTCCATTTAATCACATGAGCTTCCTACCAACTAAGTAGTTGATTAATAAAAATATGCATTTCGAAATATAAAAATCAATTAATATGTACATTTTTGCTACAAAATTAATTTTTACGCTTCACTAGATAAAGGGAAATTTGGTTAAAAGTTCATGTTTGAAAATCTAATTAGCTAAAAGAACCTAAATTTAAACGAGTACAACTATAATTTGTGAGGGCAATTTTTCTTTCACTATAGGCAATATATCATTAATGATATGCAACAATCATCAATATTAAAGTTTTTGTACACAGCAAAAGATATATTGCACACAATAGAAAAAAAATTAGACCAACGAATCATAATTACAAGTATTCAAATTTAAATCATTTTAACCAATTAAAGTTTTCAAACATGGATTTTTTTTTTATACCAAATTTCCCTTGGATGAATCTACATGACACAGACATGATTAATCTTCAAATTTTTACTTATATTGAGGTGAAAAAAGTTATTTTACACCTCAATTATGGAATGTATGTTATTATAAGTTGATTCGGATAATGTATATAAAAAAGCTTTCCTCAACTAGGTTGATAATAAATATTTAAATCACCTACATCATCACCACTTACTTTGCTGCAAGCGTTGTACTTGACTACTTACAGTTTTCCTCAACTCTCCCTCTCAGGTATGCACAACTGCACATGATTGACAAAGAAAAGAAAAATGGCAACAAAATTGAAGAAGTCGATTCAAATCTAACAATTTCTCCCCTTTCATTTGCTGCAATAGGTTACCCTGTGTATTTAACAAACATGGAAGGAAATTAAATCTGCAGCAAGGAATCTGGTTAAGGAAGAAAGTCATGGGGGCAAATTGCTACGAGATATAGGGTGCTGAAGAGGGAAGCCTACGTGAACCACCAAAGCATTCGTTTGTGCCCGATGATTTGTTAGATAATCTCCGCTTATAGCGCTTGAGAACAGAGGCCAAATTTTCCTTTCCCTTGGGGAAAGCCACATCACCAGCGGCAGTTCCCGTGCGTCCCTTCCGACTAGAGATTGCGATTTCCACGTCCCGGGTGAGGTCAAGAATCATTGTTGCCGTAGTGCATTTCCCCCTCCCTGCTTTTGCAGTAGGCGGAGGGGGCAACATTCCATTCGAAAGAGGAGGGCTTTGCTTTTGCTGGGGCACCGGAACTTGAAGGCAAAAGCACGGGGGCCTCACACTACGAGGCTTTGAAAAAGCTGGATCAATTACACCCTGCCCATAAAAGCAAAATCAATAATCAAGACCGGGGAATAAAGAGGTCAACGAGGATGAAATGAGGGGGAAAATGGGTTTTAGCCATGTCAGCAGATTAAGGTATGCCACAAATACCCATTTTAATGAATGTCAAAACTCCCCAGCTAGCATTAACCATAGAGCGCACACAAGAAAACAGAAACTGAAACATATCCAACTGCAAACGAAAATGAAAAAAAATAAAATAAAATTGGACATTAACCTGGAGGCGGTTGAGTACATAGGTGTATTTCCCCCAAAGCTCAGGGCGGCTCTCCAGGATTGAGAGCTCAAGGATACGGTGAATACACCACACCCCAAAACTTATTATCAAGTCTGATCCCCATACACAGCCATCCCCGCAGTGAGGAACTGATGACACTGAAAAATTAGAGGAGTTTGTCTCCCTAGCTTCAACTTCATAGAGGAATTTCTCCCTTGCAGCTACACGATCTATTAGTTCCTCATCAACCCCACCATTCTGTCTGAACAACCAATCAGACCCTTCTAATTTTAAGAGCCTGAGAATGCAACGCCTAAAAGACTGAAGTTTCACCTCTATATCAACCACTGAAGCAGTCTCTCGAGAAAATGAATTAGGCTGAGTTCCAACACATTCCATTCCAACATTATGGATGCTATCTGTTACACCAAACTGCTCAAAAGGCTGCGTTGACCAAAGGGATCCAGTGTCAGAACCAGAGCTTAGCTGTGAAGACAGGGCGTTTCTGTAGACTTTTGAAGGGGAAAGCTCATCAAAGGCCAAGGTGCACCTATTATAGATCCCAAACTGAATAAGATTGTTCATAACAAGTTCTAGCAGATCCACATCCAACAAAGCCCTCAAATGGGACTTTCTTATCAGATGTATAAATATCCCGGCGGGGTATAGTGTATCCTGAAATATCTGGCAAGCTGTGGTATTTCTTCGTGTTGACTGAACTGCCTACATTATCAGCAGGTCTGGAAAAGCAAAAATCATAGGACCTCTCAGATGGCAACGTGGAGTTTCTGGATATTGAGATGTTTTCAAATCCAGGGGGTCGAGCTGCACCAACACCATTTTGCAGTTGTTGCCCCAAAGCAACTGCAGGTGAATCCTTGGAGCTCGTATTAGCAGCTGCTAAAGGAGATTTTAATGATGAAAATTTGCCTTGACCATTTAAATTATCCAGAATTCTGTCTCTTCCAACTCGATCAAGGCAGGATGCAATTTGATAACCATGTACTGTTGCTGGCTGACTATCCCAAACCTCAGATGAAGGCAGATTGCGCACACTGGAGTAGCGCCTCTCCCCAGAGTCAAGAACCTTGTGGTTGGAGTTCTGCACATATGCATCTAATAATTCGATGGAGTTTGACCGCAAAGAGGAAGAACTCCTCTGAGGGCTATACCCAGATTCAAATGTACTTTGTATCCTGGGCAGCTTAGGACAGTCATACAGGCCAGCGTTCATCAGGGTATCCAATGCTCTATATCCTACTGATGATGATGCAACATACTCAGAATAGTCATTTCTAGATGCATTCGCTTTTGGCAAGGAACCAGAGAATTTCAAATCTGCTCCCAACAAGACATTCAGTTTCTTAGCCTTTGCATCCTGGGTCGCTTGTCCATGGTAATCATACAGTTGTCCCCAGAATTCATCAAGAATAGCAGCTAGTTGCCGCCTTGCAGCACGTCCCAAGCCTGCTAATCTTGATAGACTTCCAATGCTATTCCCCCCTTCATCGCTTTTCCCACGAGGACTCTTGAATGACGGAGGGCCATCTGATGTTGAAGATAGGGCACCTGTGGAAACCACTTTGGATGATTCTTCAGCTTCCCAAGAGTCTCCATCATCATCATCCCTTTCAGCATTCATATCTGCATCAACTTCCACAGTTTTCTCCAATGGGGCACTTGCATCCAGTTGTTTGGTCTTGGTGCTCACCCAGTCAGCATCAGAAATCTCATTTTCAACTGTTGATAATGCCTCTGACTTTAATATAGGAACTGATTCCCCAGGAAGATGCTGAGGGGGGCTAGCCAATGTTTTCATGGAATGAATATCTTCTTCAGTCGTCACATGAAGGCCTGAAATCTCCAGACCTCTTGCTAGAGTTGAAGGTGGTTCCTTCACCTTAAGAGATGCATCTCTATGATACCTAGTTTCAGTTAAATCTGATTCCTGACTCTCAATTGGCGGAACTGACATGACCGCTGGCTCATCACGGTTCCAAGCCTCTGCATCTAAACGGGCACTTGCAGATTTTAAAGGTGTGATAGCAAGCCAAAGCATGAAGCCCAATAGTACAAAAGCAGTGCTAATAAGAACTGACATGCCACTACCCACATTCCATCTCAAATACTCCACCCAATTGCTACTGCCAAATATCATTTCTACCACAAAGATAACATTTAACCCAAGGATCCCAATAAATACTATCAATGCCAAAAACTCCAACAATTGAGAGATCTTGTGTACACCCATTATTGATTTAGATGTAGCAATCCGGAAAAGAGGGATCAGAGAAGATGGAAGTTGCAAGGCTACCACGATCTGAGTGAAGACAAGCAGTTGGTACATCCCTTCAGCACCTGCAATCCAAACACAACAAAGGGCAGGAAGAACAGCAATCACCCTGATTGTAGCATAATGAAGCCAGCCTGGAATGTCCAGTTTCAAAAAACTATGTACAACTACTTCTCCCCCTAAACTCCATGCCAACGCCATGGTCTGATTTGAGCTAAACAAAAAGAGAAGAAAGGCAACTAGGGCCACTGGGCTTTGCAACACCTGCAATAAGAATTCTAAAGTTGTTTAGCAAGTGACAGACAGATGTGATGGTATATAGATATTCTAATGTAAATTAACTATGGAGGGAAATCAGACCTGCTCCATTGGTGATAATACATCTTGAAAAGTAAGCAAAACAAGATCTGTGCCATCAAACTCATGAGCTGCGGCACTTATCATTATATTATTGACCAGATAAATGCCACTGAAGATACAAAAGATGGACAAAAAATGGGCATGAGACAAAGCATCCTTAGAAGAGTTTATTGATCCCCGATGCCACTGCAAAAAGGTGGATAAAGTTTCAGATAGACAAGCCAAAATATCCAAGATCAACAACTGCATCAGTTGAGGGACATAGAGTTGAATCTTCAGAAATAAGTACGCTAGGTGAGCAAGATTTAGTCAATAGCATGAATAATAACATGAGGCAAGAGGATATGATTCAAAAGAGATAAGTGAAACATGTTAAGAGAGTGTACAATAGATCAGACGAAAAAGGGTATACTTCAGAAACCCATCCTCAACAAATTGGTTGCACGTATAAGAACACCAATTAAAATCATTAGATTTGGTTCTTTCTGGGATAAAATTATACGCTTAGGCTAGATTAAAGATAAAAAAATTGTTCAATAGCAGTCAGGTCGAATGTGGATGAAACTCAACGCCCCTTAAACAAGATTTTGAGTGCAAACCTTGGGGATAAAAAAAACTATGGGAAAGCTACCCTTGTTCAAGGTTTGATAATGTTTGAATCTAGATTAATGTGTAATATTATCAGTTACCAGATGGTTGTCACTAAGAAAACATAAATATTCATGTTTCAATGTTTAACTATTTTATAGGGGGGAAAAAAAATCTCCAAAACCATCCTTGCTTAACAAAATTATTCTTCAAATTTGTGTATATCGACGTTAACTGACCTTAACCCTCAGGTGCTTAAGAAGGTATATGAAACTGGTCAACATGCACTAGAAAGCATGGAAAGATAAAAAATATAGTGACAGATATAACCTTTCAGAAAAGCGATCTAAGCAACATTTTGACCATTTAAATTAGCAAATAGGTCAAGATTAATGAAACAATTAGACTTAGATGCGAGTTCCATGAATTTAGAATTTATCCCCTGAGCCCTGACCCTGAGGAAGAGAGCTCTTGATCCAAATTTGATGATTTAATAGTTGTGAGACTAAATAACTAACCACTCAGAAAACAAGCATCTTTACAGAAGTATACAAGATCAGATTAGTTATGGAGGATAAAAAACGCAGAACTTTGGTGCTATAACAAAAACGAGAAAATCACAAGTTCACATGACAAGGCAGAATGGTAGCAGACCATGCAAGACAACTACCATATGACAAGGCAGATGCTACATTGCCACGGACAAGCATAACATGAGATGCGTATATATACACATGTACAAAAATAGGACATGATTGGAAGAATGGATATCAATGTTCCAGTACACATGCATAGAAGAGCTATGAGAATTGGGAGGAATCAGTACCTGTACAATAGAGGAATAAAGGTAAAAGTTGTGGGGCACAAAAGTTGCTCCCAAAAGACTCATAAGCACAAATGCACCCTCCCCACCCAACTTTGTTAGAACTCCACTCATGGATACTGGAACTTTAGGCTGGTTTATGATTACTCCAAAAGCAACGAAAAGCAATATCAAACCAGCAACAAACAGGCCCAGGATTTTTGCCTTCCCATTGTCCTAGACAGAAGGAAATTTAATAAGTCAATGTGGATCAAACAAATGGTGAGTAAATAATTAAAAAGACTTACAAGAAGGATGGCAAGGAGCAAGTTAAAAACAGCACTAGCAGCAGCCAGCAAGACACAGGTGAACAAGTCCCACCCAGAAATGAGATTTAATATGTGAGCCATGCCCAGGATCTTGCAAAGCAGGTAAAACCAGTGTCGACGATAAATAACAAATTTAAAAAAAAAAGAGAACAAAGACAAACAAATTAGATCTCCAATGATTAACAAGAATGAGATTATTACCACGTTAAGATCTAGCATAATCACTGAAAGTTCTGTTTGGATTCCAAGGAACATGCACGTCCACGCACCATACTCATCTCTGCAAATCTTTAGCACAGAAAAAGTGAGATTAATCTGTAAGCATTATGCAATAACCAATTGCACGCATGTTCTAAGATTACTCATCCAAACGTGAGATAAAAATTAATCTGCAAGCAGGCATCAAATAGAATGATCCAGATGGGCGCAACTTGGAAAAGAGTTGAGAAAGATAAAAAGCAATATTAATTTATGTTTCCAACTCCAGCTTTTTTATTTCAGATTGTGTTATATAGGTAACATAAGCAAGAAAGGGGACGAGACATGAGGAAACAAAGGCAGGTGGGAAGGATCACCTTATCCTATATAATTACTTTTAATACGGTTTTTTTTTTAATCAAAACTTTTAATACGGTTAAAACTTAAAACAAGTGAAAAAAACTTTCCCTGCTTCCAATTATGTCCAACAAGGTAAAATACAGCATAAAAATGCCAGTAGTGAATTTCCATAATCTTCCAACGTAATCTGTCAAATGTTAAAATATGCACTAGCAAAGATGAAATCATCTAGTCTCTTGAACCTTGCATCCTACCAACCAGTCCACAGTTCAAATAATCAAATTACTTTTCGTTCATTTTTGTCCACTAACATGCACTAGAATTAGAAAGGGAAAATGAGGATCTGATACCTCTGCAAGATCTTTTCCAGTAATCACTCCAATCCTAGCTGATATGTACTGACATAAGATAGCGGCAAAATTGAAAACAAGCATGAGCGCCACCAGATCAAACCCAAATCGTGCACCACCTTCAACAATCGCAGCCCACTTTCCAGGGTCAATGTATCCCATTGTGATCATAAGCATAGGTGCAACAGCATGAAGTGAACGGTGAAGAAATGAAGGCAGATGATTAGCATTTAATGTTTGTGCCTCCATTTTATTGTTCATCAACTCCAACAATAAGGGTTTACAAAATTATGGCATAACTTCGAAGTTGCATTATTTGTTACCAAGCCGCATATCAATTAAATTTCTGGACTGCCGGTATTTTTTTTTTGTTGTTGGTATTATTAGTGAAGAAGTCCATCAACCACCAATCATTCATAGAATTTCAGCTGCTTCAATAATCAACCATAACTTGTTATAAAATTGCTGATAAGAACCCTGTGAGCCGGTTAATTACAATTGCAACAACTCAATCGCATCTCCTAGTAATCCATTATCTCCCAACATTAACTGCGACCATCAGATGCCAATCTGGTGTTTTTAGTCAAATCAACAGCATTACCCTTGCAATTTTTAATACAGCCCTACCTCCAACAACATTGATGCCAATAATTTTAAACATAACCGAAAGTCAACCCAATCTATGACAAAGTTCTTGAAGGCATATCTGACAAAAGTATCTAATGATCCATGATTGATCCAATTGTTGCTACCTCAGACTTTGCCAATCCTGTAATTCATGGATCAACGTAACACCATTAGTACCAACGGAAAGAAAGAAAATACGACCGCCAGTATTGGAGAATACATTAGATAAAGCGATTGGATGTAAGGAAACCGTCAGAATAGACATCGCAGGGGAACGCCGTATGCAGTGCAGAACTCTTTTTTGACACCGAAAATGTACTAAGAAGAACGAAGCAGCCTGGGTGAGCTCAGTACTAAAAAATGTAAAAAGAAAACTTATTTCTAAATTATTGATAAGGCCGCCTCATAGAATTCCAATATAAAAAGAGTGTCAACTTTAACAGTCATGATAACAGCAGCAGCAGATATAACATCATCCCAGATTCCCAGCAAAGTAAAAACTGTTAGAATCGTGGCCCAAAGGGAGAAAAACTGTTAAAAGGAAGATCAAATTCTCAAGGGGCTTCAAAATGAAATACAATCCAGTTCTGGGAACAGAAAAGAAGAAGAAAACAACGTCCAGAAACGGAAAAAAGCAGTTACTGAAAGCAAACCCTAAAATTTAAGCTTGAGTTGAGTGACTTAAAACAGATGAAAAGAAAACGTTACCTTGGATCTGACAAATGCCGATGATGGTATTGTTGATGATTTCGTCAAATAAAGACCGTACAAAGTAGCTAAGGTTCTAAAATCTTCTCGCTTTTTATGTTCATCTGCAGTCTTCGTTCACTTCAGCGAGTAGATCTCATCTCAGAGACCCAAAATGACACACTTTAATCATCAGATAAGGACGAAGTTGGATACAATAATATTATATTGAGAGAGAGAATATGAGAGTTCAATTTGCTGGGATAAGAGTGAGAAAACGTAAACTTTTATTATGAGCTGAGTTTGGAAGTCACATTAAAGAGAGAGAAAGGACAAGTGAAGTGAGGGAAATGTCCAGCTCTAAGATAAAATAGGCAATTGTGTCAATCTCTTCTTTGTCTCTGACCATTTCCCTATCTCACTGAAAAGATGATATATTTTTCTCCTCTAGTCTAACAGTTGGAACCCCCAAATGGAAATGTAAAAATGGTCTGCAACTGTTGCATCCAATCAAGCCGTCAAGACAACATATAAATCAATAAATGCATATACAATGAGAATGCGATAATTTCGTCTGTCGTCTTCCGGTGACACTTATGACGGTACTTGATTTATTGCTGCGTTTGTTTGCACTGAATTAACTTCCCCCAGCACGCACATACCGGCTTGAAGAGTTTACTTCACTTTACATGTCAGAAACTTAATTTTATACGAAAGCGTCCCAAACACAAAGTCAAAACATGTTCTTTTATGCAGGGTAAATGTTTTTCAAGTCAACTAGTATAAAAAATAAATTAATATTATTCCATGTATAGCTGTTAATTTGAGCTAGCCCGATCTTAAAGGATCAGCTTTTAAATTTAAGGGAATTGAAGTTGAAAAGCCCGCTTATTCTAAATTTGGTTTTTTTTTTTTAAGCCTGGCCCTTAAACATGTAAATTTAAAGTCGGCCGTTGGCTTTCAAACCTTTTTACTAAATTTCAATTTTTTCACCTATTTTAAAATATAACAAAATAAAATAGTAAGTCTCCTAAAATTTATAATTTAAATAATAAATATCAGTAAAATGAAATATCAAAATTATTATTCAAACTTATAAAACTAAATTAAATCAAGTAAATTTTAACTGAGCACGCTTCAGCAAATGCATGGTGCTTGAAAAATCACCTCTAAATCATATTAAGTTTCACCTGTCGGTTATCATAAAAAAAAAAAAGTTATGAAATACTGTGACTTCCAAACATGGTAATGAAAAAATAACATAACAACTTTAAAGAAAAGTTTTAAAATAATATATTGAGTACCCTAACTAGAATAGCGTTTATGTCTTGTAGATTCCAATTATTTTGGGACAGGACAGTCCTTGAGACAGGATGAGACACAAGAAGGGAATGTTCCATCTTGGTTTCACCCCAATATATTTTTTTTAATTTTACAAAATTTATTTTACTTATCATTAATATAATAATATTACAATTTTATAATTATGTTGTCTGCAAGTTATAAGTTATTTTATATGAGTTATATGATGTTTTTTTGGGAATATTTTGATTACTCTCAATTTTCTAGCCAATTTTATATACTTTCTTTATATAATTTTTACTATGACTGTTGATGCTCTAAACACATTTAGTTTTGAAATAAAAAATTCAAAAAAAAAAAGAGCAGGACATCCCTTGATGAAGCAGAATGGGACACAGGATGAAAATATTGTCCCATCTCAATTATCAGGGCAGAACTAGGACAGTATTATCCCATCCCGTCTCATGAATATCTTTGGTGTCAATTGGTTTGAAGATAATTAAAAAACATGAGGAGATTATAAAACAAAATTTCTCTAAATAAAGTAATATGCTCCCATATAAACACACGTCTTTATATACAACTTTTATAATGAATTAATGCTAATTTTATTATATAAATTAAATGTCTAACATTTAAAAAACTTATTACGGATACAAAAAGGCCAGTCCTTGATTCTAAAGGATCGTCCCATTTATTTTAGAGCTTAGACGGAGTAGTTCACTCAAGCCTGTTTATTGCCCGGATTATGCAAATCACAAGTCTGACACGCAATTTAAGTGAGCTTAAACGGATCTTAATAAGACAATTCAAATTTACAGTGTTTGCTCTTGTGGGATTAAAAAACATAAACAGCAAAGACAAATATAACACAACAGAGTGCGTGCCTGTGTATTATTCACTTTTCTCAATTGACCTTAATTATCCTCTTTATTCATTTTATACTCCTCCGATCCTAAATATAAGATCTTTATACACTATCTCTAGTGTATAAGAATCTTATATTTAGGATCAGAAGAGTAGTATCTTACGTCGAGTGGTTATTATTGTTAAGCGTTTCATACTGAATCACTGCATCTAAGCAATTACTACTGCCTGTTTATCGTTGATGTCACTTTATTTATTGCAAGAATCCAAGAGCGTTTAACTGGCGTATGGTTCATTGGTTCTAATATGAGCGCGGTTCATGAGGTCCAGAATTATTAAATTATTGCCTCCTGTATTTAATTGTTGGCTTTTCTACATGATTGCACAATTATTTCAGCCAGCAGCCATATTACCATTAACGGAGCTAATTAATGCCAGCACAGGCCATAATGCATTTGTTTGTTTGTACGCTTGCGGGCACAAGGACAGCTATATTTCCCAAATGTTTCTTAAAGAGTATTTGAAAGTTTTTTTTTTTTTTAAAAATTAATATCACCTTGATGAATATGTTAAAAAGGAGCATTGTTACTCGATATCGCTAAAAATATTAACGGCCATGATTATGACAAATTTACTCTTTTTTTAACAACCCGTGAGCAATATTAGTTCTTGAAAAATTTGGGATAGCCACGTGAAATTTTTTAAAACAAAATTAAACTTCAACCCTTTCATAAATGCCTCGTATGGGCAGATAAGTGATAAGTCTCTGTTGTTAAACTGGTTAATCCATTGCAAAGTTTCCTCTTAATGTTATCCTGCCAGTAATTAAACTGGATGAATGGATGACTCTAATTATACTATTGGTAACTTTGAGTTAGCTTCTTAATGTGAGAAGGGATAGATAACACTCACGTCGTATAATTATCCAGCTGCTTAAAGAAGATAATTAGAATTTAGAAACCCCTGTTAAAGTTGGGCTCTTGATTATCTAAGCATGAAGCTTTCATAAATCGAGATCCATTTATATTTTTTTTACAAATAAAAAATGGTATTATCTGAGCATTCAGTGACACATTTCAGTACACACATAAATTACATTATTCATGTTCCAATTGTGCAATAACAACATAAATGCTTTGAACTTCCCACTTCCCAGCATGAATTGAGATTACTCCCTCTTAAAGGCAAATATAAGGTTAAGTTGATTTACTCGAGGTTTTTTTGTTTCGGATAAGAAATGGGATAAGACGCCTTAAGAATCTTTATTCATCAAACAAAGCAAAAACGTGGGCAAGAAATGCCCATTAAGTCTTTCAGATAAGTATCCATCACACTACTAGGGGTACCTCACATTTGTGTAACTCATTATTACAAGTAAGGCTACAGTTAGCTGAAAAATATGCTACAAAATTGCCTTCCCTGTAAGCATATACAAAAAGAATCTGTATATTCCTGCTAAAGTCACTCAACCAGTTGTTCAAATAATTTCATCTCTCAAATTTATAAATTTATTCTTAAATGCATATATTGAATGAGATTTTTCAATCAAGGAGGTAATCATTAAAAAATATTTTAAATAAACCAACACATATTTTATTTGATTCCTTTTTGATAAAATCCATCTATTCACAGTTGAAGCTAATACAGTGTTGGGAACAACAGAGATCCCCAAGCTACTAGGCTAAACGAATCGGTCTTAAGTACTGATTCATGACAGCCTATGTAGTTGTGCTGTGGGAAATTGCACGTGAAAAGCAGAGCATCACCGAATTTTTAGGTCTATACATTTATGGGTTATAGCGACGGGACGGGGGGCTTTCCTAGTGGGCCTTCGTTGTGTGCCATATTTTCGTGCCCAGTTGCTTCAACGCGCATCAAGACCTTATACCTTTACTCTGTTTTGATCGCCATTGTTTCACTGTCTCACTTTTCGTACCATCCTCACGATCACTCTGCCTCCATCTCTAATTCTCATTGATGATATTATTTATGACTATTCTATATGACCAAGTCCTCCACACGTCCTTGTCGTCACTTAATGTTGCTATGTCATCCTTCTCTCTGTTTTTTTTTTTGGAGTTATCTTTCTCCTGTTCTGTTCTGAAAGTCAGGTGATAAGTCGAAAGCAAATCTGATGTGAAGTAGAGTTCTGATTGTGGCGCACTCCACTGCCCTGAGCTTGACGTTAACCTTAAGGGATCTACATGCCTTACCAAGCACGAAACATGATCCAACTGTGTGGTCGGGAACAGGACATAGTTTCCTAGTATTTAGTTGGCGCTGTTGGTTAACATCATTAATTCTTGCAGTTTTACATGGTACTTTGCGAGGGATGTGTCTTTTATGGACTATGCAAATAATTTAAATTAAATAAACCCATCAGTCTATTCCACCAATAATGTCCTATGAAATTTATTCCAACTTAGCTTTTGGTCTCGCAGTAGGCAATTTTCCAATTTCGTACACTCATACATATTCCAACGATTCATAAACTCTTCTTTTTTTAATTCCGAAATTTGGAATAATAACAGACCCAGCATAGGTTGGTAGGAACCAACAATTTAACATCAGAGGTTGAAAAACTTGCCACAGATTTGAGGCCCAAGAGACTTAAACTTCGTCGTAAAATCCGAATACTATATTCTAGGAAGTTGCACCACGTTCGGTCAACTCCTTTTTCAGTTGGTCTTCCTCTTCCTAACCCTCTTATTCATGCTGTAGTTGACTGTGCTGGTTGGCAGTGACAGTCTTGAATAGGTATGTAAAGCAGAGCCAGTGGTTAAAGCATTTTGTGCAACCCTATGTTAAAGTCACGTTTCAGCTAGTATTTTTCCTTAAATATCCTTAACTTTTACCATATAACAACGGAACAACCACATATTTCTGAGAATCTAGGTCCCTGGAACGATCCTATCAAATTCGAATCTTACCATGAAGTTCACAAAGCAACGACTTTGTTCCTTCCATAAACTTTTAGCTTACTCACAGGTATCACTTGCCCTTTTAACGCGAAAAAACAACTAAAGGTTTAATCTGTTGTATCTGCCTATAGTTTAAGTCTTTCCACCCTTTTTATTCACATGATTTTTATGAAAATTAGCACGGGAAGTTTTGCTTCAACTATTATGTGATCGAGTTCTCGAAGCAGGATATTTTATTTGTCAATATATAGAGTGCTCTGACATACCTTCTAGCAGGGCAAATTCACAGACTGCAAAGGAGCGCTGTGGCTTCTGGTAGATCAAAATCTGTAAGGTCAGCGTATACCTATGGTATAGCACTGCTAGTTCCCATATACTTATTACTTAATGTGCAATTTAAATCTGAATATTTTGTAGTGTTTGGATATCAGAACCTTAAAGTCTTGGTGCTGATTCTTAGCTCTGTATGTGAATTCAGGTTTTAGGATAACCCTGAGAAAGATATGTTGATGGCTAGCATAAGAAGTCTCATGTCGAAGCCAGATTATGACATGAATGCAAGAAACATGTTGATGGAGAGGAAGAAACTTTCAAGGGTGTTTTCTGAGGATTATGATGCCTCGAAAAGAAAGATATTCGATCCCAGGGAACCAAGAGTAAACAGATGGAACAAAATGTTCTTAGTAGCATGTTTGATTTCACTATTTGTGGATCCCTTCTTCTTTTACTTGCGAGAGGCTACGAAAGACAAGTGCATTGCTATATCTACCGGACTCGAAGTTTCCCTTACCACAATTCGGTCCATGGTCGATGCGTTTTACATCATCCATGTATTTATTCGGTTTCAAACTGCCTACGTCGCTCCTTCCTCTCGTGTTTTTGGTAGAGGAGAGCTAGTTATAGACCCTACAAAGATTGCATCAAGGTACTTCCAAAAACACTTCTGGCTTGATCTTCTGGCAGCCCTCCCTCTTCCCCAGGTATGTCACTGATCGAAATATCTTTATTTCGAGTCTTGATTTTTATTCTTTTTCAAATATGAGTGCTTACAATTCTTACACATAATCTAGGTGTTGATTATAGCTGTAATTCCAAATCTAAAAGGGTCACAAATGATGGCTTCAAGGCAGAGTCTGCGCCTTGTGATCATTTTCCAGTACCTATTGAGGTTATATCATATCTTCCCTCTCTCATCTGAAATAGTCAAGGCAAATGGAGTAATGATGGAAAAAACCTGGGCTGGGGCAGCATATAACCTTATGCTCTATATGCTAGCAAGTCATGTAAGTCCCTTGTGAGGGTTTGGTGGAGTTGGTTGCTTTCTAATCAAACTGTTCAATACTAATTGGTCCTGTCTTTCTCAAAGGTCTTAGGATCCTCCTGGTACCTGTTGGCAGTCGAAAGGCAGGATGAGTGTTGGAAAAAAGCTTGTAATCTTGAGTTCCCATATTGTCAATACCGGTATCTTGATTGTCAAAGTACAAGTGATCCAGCCAGAGCAGCCTGGTTTAGATCAAGCAACCTGTCAACTTTATGTGATAAGAGTAGTGATTTCTTTCAGTTTGGTATTTTTGCCGATGCTCTCACTTTGGAAATGGCAGACTCAAAGTTCTTAAGCCGATATTATTATTGTCTTTGGTGGGGCCTGCGGAATCTCAGGTGATATTTCACTTTGACATTTGACCTCTTCTTCTGTTAAGTATGTGACCACCTAACCAATTCTGTCAAACTTGCAGCTCTCTGGGACAGAATCTCCTAACCAGTACTAACGTTGGAGAGATAAATTTTGCTGTGATTATTGCAATTCTTGGGTTGGTGCTTTTTGCACTTCTAATAGGAAATATGCAAGTACGTGAATTTTCATATGCTAAAAGTCAATTTCAAAACGGAACAATAAAATCTCATTTCTGGGACATTTTCTCATGTTATCATTTAAGTTGCTGACTGTGAACAGACGTATCTGCAATCAACTACTTTGCGATTGGAAGAGTGGAGAATAAGACGCACAGACACAGAGCGATGGATGCATCATAGGCAGTTACCTCATAACTTGAAGCAAAGTGTGAGACGCTACGAGCAATTCAGATGGGTTGCTACACGAGGAGTTGACGAGGAATCCATCCTTCGGGACCTGCCTGTTGATATCAGACGCGACATCAAACGCCACCTGTGTCTCAACCTCGTCCGACAAGTGGGTCTTCCTCGTCGTTTCCAAATTTTCTTTCATCGTAAGCAATGTTCAGATGCTAATAACAGAATATCCACAGGTACCCCTGTTTGATCAGATGGACGAGAGGGTGCTCGACGCCATATGTGAAAGACTGAAACCTTCTCTATGTGTTCAAGGAACTCTCCTAGTTCGCGAAGGAGATCCTGTGACTGAAATGAGTTTTGTCATTCGAGGACGTCTAGATTCTTGTACCACTAATGGTGGCAGAAGCGGGTTCTTCAATTGTTGTAGGATCGGACCAGGTGATTTTTGCGGCGACGAGCTTTTGCCATGGGCCCTGGACCCACGTCCAAGTGCCGTTCTTCCTTCATCAACTCGCACAGTGAAAGCCCTAACAGAAGTGGAAGCCTTCGCGCTCATAGCCGAAGACTTGAAGTTTGTGGCAGCTCAGTTCAGGAGGCTACACAGCAAGCAACTGAGGCACACGTTCAGGTTTCACTCACATCAATGGAGGACGTGGGCTGCTTGCTTCATACAAGCGGCTTGGTTTCGATATAAGAGAAGGAAAGAGGCGAGCGAGCTAAATCATCATATGGTGGATGCTAGGGAAACTAGGGTGGAACATTTCTCTGCACCTTTGCACTTGCAACCTCGAATAGGTTCGAGTACTACCATGTATAAAGCGGCCAATTTGATATGCAGCCCAAGGAAAGGTGGAAGCTTGCGATATGCTTCTGAATTTGATATTCTTGTTTCACTCAGGAAGCCTCTTGAACCTGACTTCAGTACTGTTGAAGACTGATCAAGTGTATGGCTTGCGATTGTTCGTGGTGCTATTCATCGAGTCTGAGCGGTTCAGTATTGTAAATTTTTGTAATCCTGTAGTGTTTCTGTTTTACGTCAATTGAAATAACTATCATCACGCATGTCGTTTGAATTACTAGCATGAAATAGTCAGCTTGGAGAACTTCTCCCTGGTGTTACTCAACATACTCCAATTTCATTCAATAAAACTTATCATTTGGATCGGATGACAATAACCCCTTTTTCCCCCCTTTTAAATGAATGAGTGAATGATGAAAATGAACGATCCAGTCCAAATTTAACTAATGGATCTGGCCCAATGTTTCAGGCAATTGGTTCTGCCACAAAAACAAAACGGACCTAGCCTTTACAGCATTTTGCCTTTTGGTATTAAAACCTCAGCTATTTTGTTGGCGTGACTAGTTTGAAGAAAGGGCATGCAGCAGAAGATATGGAGTGATTGGAGGTGTCATTTGGACTCATGATCCAAAAAGCCTAAAAGTCTAACGCTAGGTTCTTCAGCCAAGAGGCGTAAGATCCCATATTCCAAATCCACTTGGGAGACTAAATGATAAAATTAAAAGATCACCGTAAAAGGAAAGGCCTTTTGCTTTCTGATATGATTGCTTTTTACCGGTCAAAAATTTTACCTTGAATGTCCTGCTTCGCAGTCATTACCATGTTCCCCGCTTTTTACCTTTTTGAACTTTCCAACAAATGAATTCGATGAAACCAAATAGCTATAAATTGGACTATAGACGGGGAGAGTTGCCAGTTTCAAGTTCCAACAAGTATATAACGCAAAATTGTGCAAAGTCGAGAAGGCAAGTCAGTTTTGAATATTAGAGTAAGGATTAAAGATTAAAAAAGGCATGTTAGGGAGTCATTTTACATTACTATACTACATGGTAGATATATACATACATACATATATATATATATTCCAAACATGTCTTGCAAGCTAACCAACCCACCAGAAAGTAAAATAAATGCTTTTTCTTCCCTCTAATCAATGTATCAAATAATTAAGCTATATTTCATTGACTATCATGGTGCTTGCATGCCTAAATCAATAGCTATATTAACATTTTTAATAGTACTAACATAGTATGAATTTTATTCTCGTCTCCAAACTAAAGCACGTAGGTGATCTCTCGCCAACCCATTAATAATCTTTGCAAGCTTTTGCGCATTTTATATTACTATAGTGATGAAACTAACCCATCTGCAGATATCTGATGACATGAAAATCCTAGACCGACCAAGTTTTTTTCGTGTGAATGTTTTAGAAAGCAACCTCGGCGGTGCTGAGAAATGTTATGTTGAGGCATTCACGTTGTCTCAAAAATAGAAGACACATGGTCTTTGAGGAAGCCATATCAATTAGCGCCCTTCATGTTCCAAAATGCCGACTTTCTGTTTGTCTCTTCTTCCGAAATGATCGCTCTTAAAAACATTCGGAGGATCTCTGTATGTTTACTCCAAGTTAACGGATTCCATGCATCTCATCAATTTCTGGTTCTTATTTTGCAAGCTGATTACACCTTTTTTCCCCTTTAGCGAGCCATCAGTATTTGTTCCTCGTTTTTTAAATGAAAGACTAGAATTGAATATTATTAAGGGAAGTAAATTAATCGGACTCAAACTTCGATTGTCGTATAATATTTTTCTTGTGTCGGGTGTAATGGAGGGGCGTGATATGCATGGCAATAATCCAGGTGTAATGAAGCGCATTAGTTAAACCATGAGGTGCTTTAAACATGTTTAATTTGTGGGGTGGGTCATTGATCCAAAAATGTGAGCATAGTTCTTTTTGTTTTTCTGCATTTTCAAATGTTGTCTTCAGAAAGCAATCAAAAGCACATGTCACACACTTGATTACGTATCATCATTGTTCTTTTGTTTGGGGAGTACTTTGTTTGACCAGACCAGTTTGTAAGTTTCGCACTGGGACCAAAATTCATCTGTCAGTAGCGTGGGCCTCCATTTTAATGTTTCTCTGCTCGTTCAAAAGTAGTCCATAATTTTGTTGATAAAAAAGCATAGAAAAAGAAGGACATGTTGTTCAAAACAATCCATGATTCAAAGCAGCTTTTAAGCTTCATTGAGTTGTGTGCAGTTGTGGGTTGGCAGCAGAGTAAGGTATATAGCAGAATTAGAAATATAATGCAGTCAAAAAGAGGTTGTTACTCAATCATTCAAAAGAGAAACCATTGATTACGTTTTCTTAACAATTTTCCAAACAAGGTTACATGTTAAAAATCCCAAGCCCCGATTGCCATTACAGACAATGCAGATGTCTTAAAAAAGAAGAAATATTAAAGTAAACAAAGAACACTTTTTTGAATGAAAGCGGTTCATGTCCGAGTACTGTCTGGGCAAATCACCATAGCTTTTTCATTTCTTCTAAAGTAAGGCTTTTCCGTCGACAAGAAAATCAGCTAACAGCAAAAGCCTATTATTTCTCGTTACACACACACACACAAAGCCATGAAAAATAAAAAATTCAGCAAGTAGACAAAATTGACCAACGCGGCACCAAATTCCAAAAACCAGGTCGGTTATGTTCTCACTTCACGTCTTCGCCCAAAAGGGTCAAAGGTCCTTGAAATTAGGCTTTGGCTTCTAAACCATTTCACTGAGGCATTATACGCACGCCAGCATGACCACAAAAAGGGTTCTTTTATGACTCAGCTTAGCAGGAAAATTGTGTATACAGACACCGCACCTACGTACGTCGCGGATGCCTCAGAAAAAAATAACAGAGCATGATTAAGAAGGAGCAAAAGTATGAAGCCCATCTGAACGGTACAATAAGTGAAATCATGCGCTGCATTTCCATGCAAAGTGATGAGGAGGAATGAATAATGATGATGATTGTGCAGCAGTAATTGATGAGGGGATAGAGTGACAGCGACAGAGGAGCGACTGACACGTGGAACGACCCCATTGAATGGTGAATGATGAGGGTGGGGCAGGGGGTTTAATGGTCGCCCTTCCCAATCGCCTGGCTTATAGCGAGCATAAAGTTATGGGCTTAAGTGCTGTGTGGACCTGTAAGTCAAACCACTCAATGCTTATGGAGCAGCCTTTTTTGTCTCTGTTTTTATTCTTTCCTCTCCTTTGCAGCACTCTCTCTTACTCATCTGCTCCAATATGCCGCCCACAACCTGCATCATCATCCCTCTCCCTCAATTCTTGTCCGTCTATTTTCTGGTGAACTCTCGGGATTCGTGCAATTTTATCAACCGCCAATCACTTTTATCTCCATGTGGAATATTATCATATGGTCTTTATCATTAGATATGCTAAATTTGATTGTCCGCGTCGCCCTAGCGATCATCCTATTAATTCCTAGCTAACATCAAATACTTTCAATGGGATCGCGCGCGCGTGTGTGTGAGTGTGCGAAGGGAAGCGGCATGTTGGGTGGAATTCAGATGAAGAAAACAGAGTGTCGACAATGGTACCGGCCAAGCGTGACAAATGGAAGGGAAGGGAAATAAAGAATATAGCATATTTGTGAATCTGAAATTGCATAACACCGGGAGGAGACAGAAAATGACCACACAAATACTTGAGAATCAAGTTGAGAAAAGATGGAATTGACTGGGGTCGAGACCGGTTTTCGGGATTCAAAGTGTAGCGGTTGTTTAAGGACAAAAGCAAGTGGGATTTATTAAAAGGGAAAAAAAAAAGGTTTGCTTCGCAAGTTAATGTTTTGTTTCATAGGACATGGTCACATGGGCACGACAACTATCGAAAAGTGAGATACAGGATACTCCTCCGGTATTTAATATAGGACTCAATTCTTGAATTGGTTTTGATCCTAAATATAAGACCCATTTCTCATATTTATCAATTTTCTCTAAATTACCCCTATAAATACTCCCTCAACCATAGTCAAATAGAAGAAAGAGAGAGGTATTAAAAAAGATGATTGTGGTGTTTTAGGAAAAATGTGTCATTTTTCTTATAATTAACTAACTTACCTAACTTCTTTAATCTAATCAAATTAGTTAAATGGGTCTTATATTAAAGACCGGAGGAGAGAAGAAGCAACGGGAATCAAGTGGTAGAATAAATTTTTTGGGAAGAAACTGAGAAGGTACAGGGGACGGGAGGGGAGGGTGGTGGTTACCGTGTAAGAAAGAGGTTAAGTGTGTGTGTGAAAAACTGAAAATGTGAAGGTTGCTCAATTATGAGTCACATCCAAACAAATTAAACATGGCGGGATCTGGAGGGGAGCGTATGGGCAGGGGATGGTGAAAAGGGAAAGGGGAAGGTTTGAACTGGTAAGGGGACATGTGAGGGTCTTACCCTAACAACACGCATCCGTCGCGGTCGAATTTTCGCCCGCCTTAAGCACCTTCTAAACGGCCAACGCTTCCGTTTTCTCGGGATGCAAATCTTTTGGTTTCCGAATCTTTCAGAAATATTCTCGGCACCTAAATATGACTATTGCATATCTGCATTTGTAACGTTTATGATCAGAGCCGGCAGAGCGAGAGTGAGAAGCATGATGATGATGATGATGATATTATATTAGTTCTGGTTCTAAATATAACAATTAGTTAATTGGTTTGAATAGATTAAGAAAATATATTAATTTAATTATTTGTAATAAATAAGTGTTGTCTTTTTTAAAATATTCTTATTAATCAAATTTATTTGTTAGAATTATCATTATTAGAAAGATTATTTTAAAAATAAATAAATAAATATAAAAAACAAAATGAATTAATATCTTATATTTATAATCAAAATAAAAGTTAAATGAGATAAAGAACTAGAGGTGGCATTATGAGAAGTTAAAAAAAAAAAGGAAAAAAGAAAGAAAGAAAGGAGGGTGAGGCAGAGGCGGCAGCTAAAGTAAGGAGTGGCTGAGTGCAAAATACTACCTCCGGTCTTTAATATAAGACTTTGTTTGACTTTTATTTTACTCATAAATATAAAACCCCAATCCACTTGTCTATCATATTTATACATTTTTTTTTTAAATAATCCTTCTAATAATGATAGTTCTAGTCAATATACTTGATTAGTAAGGATATTTTAGGAAAGACAACACTTATTTAGGACAAATAACTAACTCAACTTACTTCTTAATCTCCTCAAATTAGTCAACTGGCTTTTATAATTAGGACCGAAGATAGTACGGAGCAATGAATGTGACATGGGTTGAGCTCCTCGCCATCAGACCCAAAATGAGCGCTTCTGATCCTGGCAAATTAGCATGATACTAGTACTTACTAAGCAGAAAGGCTAATTTGCAGGCACAAAACTTCATTCCATTAACCAGAGTTACGTATCCTAAAATTCCGATTGACTTTTTCCTTAAAAAATTCTCACAAATATACATAGTATATAGCTTCACATGCACTGAAGGAACGTATGGTGTCACAGAAAAAACAAAGGACAGCATGCTTTCCTTGACCTATTATAAATTACTAGTTCCGATTCTTAATATAAGAATCAGTTATTTAAGTTGAGTAGATTAAAAAAAAAATTAAATTAGTTATTTGTAATAAATATGTGTTGTTTTTCTTAAAATATCCTTGTTCGTCAAGTGTATTATTAGCTAGAACTATTATTATTATAAAGACTATCTTGTAAAAAAAATGAATAAATGTAGGATGCCGATGAACTTATTAGCTTAATTGATTGATGATCCATTTATTTCCTTTGATGCCCCCGTTAGCTTTCTATAGATGATTTATTGATTTGAATAGATATATATACAATCTCTTTTATTTTTGTAGTGTCGTTCTTATAACCAGGGATAACTATAACCGTGGCATTTTCTTGAAAACACAAGTTAAGAAAACGAAATGGACATACTCTGTGGAGGCAGAGATAGGCCAGAAAGTTATGGGAGTGGAGATGGGGACAGAAGGATAAGCAAAAAATAGTGAGTGTATTGGAAATGAAAAGGGAATTCCAGGCAACATCAAAATGGGTCGGCCGTTGGCAGAACTGGAGCTTACTGCTTCACACTCTTCCCTGTCTCCCTCCCCTTCATCATATAGTATTCCATTATATAGTGATTAGTGATAGTTACTCATAACTCATAACTTCAACTTATCGACAGCGTACTTAGAATTAAGAGCCTCAAATTCGTCTCTTGACTCATATATCTTCTAATTAAGTCAGTCCAATTATGTATCCCGACTCAATACGACACTTGCATACAAAAGCATGCCTTAAACGCGCATGCTAGTATGAGGGGGTTTGGCCTTAATATTTAAACGCAAGTTCAATCCCCGATTAAGAAAGAGTGATCACGAGTTTATACTCTCTAAGCAACACAGAGGACTGTGGAGCATGAAGAGCGTGCCAGAATTAGACCAACAAAGGTGTGCTAATAAAGCTAAACAAGACCAGCCAGGAAGGGAATTTAGGGATTGGAGCCCTAAGGCTTAGACTAGTATATAATGACAGTGGGTTAAAGGCTGGATTCACCAGTTCCAGCAATCCTGGCAAGACTGCTACGAACAAAATGTTTTGTGTCAGTAGTTTATTAACCCATTAAAAAAAAATGAAGAAACTTGGAAATGGGGTTGTTTTAAAAATGGAATTAAAAATGCTGGGGCTTTGGAGAAGGTGAGGGAATGGGGACCAGATGCTCGAAGAAATGTGGGAAAGAGGATATGGGGGGAATGGAAAGGAGCGTGTGCAGAAAAAAATCAAATGTTTGCTAAGCGTTCAGCAAGAGTGTCGAGCCAGGAAGGGTGGATGAGGGTACAAGCTGATAGGTTATTGCCCACTCATGTCCTCTTAAACCAATCATCGTCCCACAATGTTCGAAAGAGCCAGAGCCTGTCACTACCCATCACTTGCTCAGCGACGCCCATTCACAAACCATTACTTAATTCATCTGCTTGGAGGTCTGTGGGTTACACTCCCAGTGAAGCGAGTATGGGTTTAGGTTAGTCTGAAAAATTATGGATAAATGGGGTTTTTCTTTAGTGGCGTAGGCTTTAGTCCTTTTCTGGGTAGATGAATGGATCTGGCCTTTGTGTTTTGTTGCAACACTTGTACTAGTCAGATATGAACACAAAAGCAGAACAATTGGACATAGTGTTGCAAGCAAAATTGATAATTGCCACTACTACGTCTGTGACGTTGGACAAGCAGGCAGTTCTCATCCACGTTACAAAATTTCCAATTGCAGAATTCTATGAACTAAGCCCTCTTCAACGGTCTGGGGATTTTCTATTCGCCAATTAGCTCCCCACTTTTCCTCTTTCATATACTCTGCTCTCTGTCTCTATATGTGTGTGTGTGTATTATGTATATATATTAGGTGAACCGGGTGCTTGCAAGGGGAAGGTAGGTTCCTTTTATGGCAAAAAGACACAGAAAAGTAAAAGGATTTTGATCCTTAGATTATCAAAATATGGCAGTATTATTCTCTCGGGAAAGCCATGAATTTTTTATCTTTATCTTGGTCAGACTAAGGCAATTAGGCAAATAAGTGATCAACGACTAGACGCTCACTTGATATTCTGTTTTGTTTTTACAATAAAAATAAATTATATTGACTTTTTTCCTCCTCCCGAATAGCCCAAATTACGCTTATATCCCTTTGACTAGTACGATTCCACTTATATCCCCTTACTCTCAATCTCCTTTTAATTTTACTTTTATTAATAAAATTAATTTTTTATATAACACCTATTTCTTCTAAAATTAATTTATTCAACAATCGTTATCATCATACTAAAAATTAAATTATATAATCATGTAGGAAATTACAATTAGGTCACACTGACATATATAAATCAGAACTCCCTTTAACTCTATATTTGCCAGTATATAGTGGATTCAATTTTTATTTTTCCTACAAATTTGCGCATTTTTTTCACAGATCGTAGTATAAAGTTGAGTTCTTTGATGTAAAGGAAATATAAAACGGAGTGTTTGCAACATACTAGTATGTAAGGGGAGTGAAATGTACTAATAATATTTATATAAAAAATCAGGTTAAGTTAACCCAACGTTGGCACTTGGCAAGAACAAGGGAGGGAACAAAGAGCAGTTTTGTGCGCGCGTGGCAAGGTTGTATGTAGGAGTGGTCTGGGAACGCAAGCGTGCCAAGGCACGTATCACGTGCGATGGGTTTTATATATAGGTATGAAGAAGAGGACGCACTTCACTCAATGCCCAAGCAATCAAATGGGCGTAGTCCATACTTGCAATTTCGATGACAGACATATGAGTTCACAAGCATAGAAGCAGGAGGGGAATCTAGGAGGGAGATTCTTTTGGTTTAACAAGTGTTTCTATACCATTCACAAACAAAAAGCAGAGTGAGACACTGTGTGGGTGAATATAATTAGTTTGTAGCAATGGAGATAGAGAGTGAGATAAGGAAGTCAAGGTTTAAGAGGATTTGTGTGTTCTGTGGAAGCAGCCAGGGCAAGAAGAGTAGCTATCAAGATGCTGCTATCGAGCTTGGCAAGGAATTGGTATTCATGCTTTGCTACATTATTATTTTTTATATATTTGTCCGGTTTTGTTCACTCCCTAGCATTCCCTGTATCTTGTTTTTATGAACACAACCAGAAGGCCTTCCGGGATATTTCTTTTCTGGAATGTATTTCATTTATAATAGAGTTGAATCCGTGCAAATACGATGGAAATGGCTAATCTCTGTCATTTAATGTACTGCAGATTATGCTTCCACAATGAATTTATTTTGGGTAAACTCGCTGTGTTTATGACATGTTTGATGCTTGTTCATGGTCCTCTGGAAATCAAACTTTACATTGATTTAAGGTTTTATCATTTTTGAGTTCAAAACTAGGATGTATATGATGAGATGATTTCAAAATTTCACGTTTTTCACGCATCTTCTTGGACATGTGCTACCGCTTCTTCTCTGAAGGAAGGGCACTCAATTTTTGCTGTTACCTGGGTGTCTCAGCACCTCTAAACTGAAGAGTTTCAATTTCAAGTCTTGCAAGTGGCCCCTTGCTGACTGAGAATTAAAGAATGATTTCTCCACGCCTTTTACTTTTTCTCTGTCTTGGGGCTTGAAAGTGTTGGGATGAAGTGCCGTCAAATTATATTTCCAGATGGGTCATCATGAAAGCATTTTTTGACATCACAGTATGATCGCCAGTCTTGTCCGCCTTTGCTATTTCGTATTCCTAGGCTGATTAGATTAATGGTGTCTGCAGGTGTCAAGGAACATCGATCTGGTCTACGGTGGGGGAAGCATTGGTCTAATGGGTTTGGTTTCACAAGCAGTTCATGATGGCGGTCGGCATGTCATTGGGTATGATTATTTTCTTACTTTTCCTTAGCCTTCCCTTTTATTTTTTCCTCTTTTCTCCCCAAATATGTTGGGGAAAAGGAAGATCAAGTAAACAGAATCAATGAGTAATCACCGTGCTTATGTGGGATTCTTTTTCATTTGACACTGATTTTTGTCATGTTACTGTCTCTCGCAGAGTTATTCCCAAGACGCTCATGCCTCGAGAGGTATGTCTGCTCCACATAGGAGAGAAACTGAGTATTTTTAGAGTACTGCAAATTGTATTGTTTATTTGTTTCTCTTCATCAAGGCATCGGACTCAAAAATTTTTTTTTTCAAATTTAAATTATATCAGTACTCTATTTGATGAATATCCTTATCAACTACCACACATAAAAGTATTAATGATATCATATGCATGAAAGTTTTCGTCTATTTCCGACTTCATTTTCCGTTCAGAAAATTCATCTGCGTACATCCTCCTCCCCGGACAGCTGGACTGGATTAAGCTTCTTGGCAAACCTCAATATTTCACCCTTTTTCTTTCTCTTTTTGGGTCAATGCTTGGCCGTCCTATCCGCCTTATCACTAGAATAGATGGTTTTATCCCAATCAATGTGCATCTCATCTTCCTGTTTTTCTATTTGGCAAACAGTTCCATCCATATACGTTTAGTTGACAAGCACTGTGCAGTTTCTTTGGTTTTACTCCATTGGCTTTTATTCGGAAAGAACTATTTCTATCCCCTTCCAATCAATTTTCAGTTATAAATTACTATCACTATCTGGGAAATAGGCAGGGTAAATGTATATAAAGAATTACTGAATTACTCTCCCTTTGCTGCAACCCTTGCAGCCTGCATAGCAGTCCAAATCACGGGTCTTTTTTTCTCTCCGTGAAATTGATTTTCTTGTCCCTATCTTATTCTTGGTTGTCCCTGTTGCAGCTAACTGGCGAAACGGTGGGAGAAGTGAAGGCAGTAGCAGACATGCACCAAAGGAAGGCTGAGATGGCTAAGCATTCCGATGCCTTTATTGCCTTACCAGGTCAGTCTTCAAATATAGTGCAGAGGCTCAAAGATAAAAATTAGAATCATAAAGCTCATTTTTCCTTTGTTTCTAGTACAGAGGATTCAGGTATCGACTTCTTCTCGAAATTCCAACAAGTTAGAAAACAGTAAATGACGTTTTTATTATTAACCTATTCTACTTGTTATATATGTAAGGTCACATAAAACTCCCTAAAATGTTTGCCCACTACATCCTATAAACACAAACTGTTGATATTTTATTTAACTACTTTTTGGGCCTAACATCATTACAAAGATTGCCACGCCTAATCATGGATGTTGCTTGACAAGAGTTTTTAAGTACTTCTGTATGATTTGGAAGTGATTCCTAATGGATAGGGTCGACTAGTCTTCTACTTACTAGACATTTTTTGGCCAATGCTAAACATTGAAGAATCGAGGTAACACAAGTGGGGTGGGATTTTTCTTTGTTTTAAATAAGGCCTTCGCAGGCGTCTTTGGGTACCACTATTATTCAATTGGAAATTAAACATGTTTGTAATCGGGACACTGTTGTAAAATCGGTAGTGCGTCCTGCAGAGTCCAAAGCAACTTTTCCTGATGTTCTCACTTCTCACACAACCCAAGGCTATGATTAGAGAGCGACCCTTCGAACATACCTTGCTCATAAACCTGACCTTCTACAATTTTTACACTGAAAATCAGATCTCTCTGAGGCCCTTGGCAGCTGTGGTTCTGGTTTCATGCCATTTTTTCACCTCTACCTCAATCCTTTAAACTGTGACATTATTGATTATTGTACCAAATATTTTGCTAAAGATAGGTTGGTAAAGCAAGGGAGAACTTTCACATTGATTGTTTTTTTCCAAATAGCACCTGTACCCGACAGGGAATCATGCCTTACCCTTTCAACGAGCTTTCTTTCAGTTATTATTGCCCACAGTAATTGAGTGCTGAGAAACCAGCAAGACAGAAGAGGCATGTTACGGCAGAGTTGTCATTTGCTCTTTATTTGTGGGTCCCCCCGGTATGAAAACGGAACCCTCAGCTCAGGCGGCCCAAGAGTGGAAGAGAATATGAGTTAGAGGGTTTAGAAACCAAGTCAAAAGAAGGCCTTTTACTTGACGCTACGATTATGATATCCATCGTGGAATTTGAATCCAGTGCGCTGGGTTCCACAAAGCCAAGACTAAGCACCACAGATACCAAACAAACACAGTGACAAACTGAAATAAATAATTTTTCGAATTAACTATGTATGCTTTTTTTTTTTTCCTGGTATCATTCGGGTAGCCTCTGTTTTTTAATTTAACTTTTTGAGAAACTCATACAAGTCACATACAGGCGGCTACGGGACTTTAGAAGAGCTTCTTGAAGTCATTACCTGGGCTCAACTTGGGATTCATGACAAACCGGTAATTAACTAATTATATATTCATGTGCTATGAGGAATCTTTTAGTCCGTTTTATCCTAATTAGGTCTGGGATTCCACAACTTGTAGGTAGGATTATTAAATGTCGATGGATATTACAATTCCTTGCTATCATTCGTTGACAAAGCCGTGGAAGAGGGATTTATTAATCCTAATGCCCGCCACATCATTGTATCGGCGCCAACACCTAAAGAGTTGGTCAAGAAATTAGAGGTAATTCAATTCAATGGATGCCCTTATTTAAAGCACTTTTTGTTCAGGATTTCCCTTTTTCTCATCCTGATGTCTTTTGATTTGTTCTTAGCCATATACTGCAAAGGCTTGTGCTCTACACTATTCATTTTGATTTTCGTCACCTGAAGTAACTTTTCCAGTGAGAAATCAACTGCTTTGACATCATTATGGAAATGTATAGACGCAAACATAAAATTATATTTTTAGATAATGACATGAATCGATATTCTTTCTTCTTCTTCTTCTTCTTTTTTTAACCCGACAACAATTAAGCACATCTCTGGTATCTAGTCCATTTTCCTTTTGTTCTGCTGATTAGTGCAGATGTGTATTGTTAACAGAGGAAGGGAAATGTTTGACTTGCAGGATTATGTTCCCCGTCATGAAAGTGTTGCTCCCAAGTTGAAGTGGCAGATTGAACAGCTGGGTTACCCTGAAGAATATAATATTTCAAGGTAGTTAGGTTTACTTCAAGTGCAAGGAAGATGAAACCTGACAGAAGTAACATTGAAAGTGGAAGAAGCTAATTTCTAGAATCACTCTTCTTTTGTTTTTTTTTTTTTTAACCTTTGCCATTTAAAATTTCTTCTGTAAATTACTGGGATTGACCTGAATACGTGAAACTCATTAGTTTCCTACTTGTGAGAGTCTGATTTCCTTTCAAGCTGTAAGTAGTAGGGTCTTAATCTGGAATTATCCTTCAATACTATCAATTAGCTTTTAACTTGCCTGGGTCACCAGCTATTTTTTATGCCCTCCATGTAAAAACTCCTTGTAGTTAAGATCAGTGCGGAAAGAGTCAGAGGAAGAAATTTATTAACTAGTGTGAATATTTAAAGTGATAGATATGTGAACTACGGTGAGTTTTCAGCGACTCCTTACAATTATCATCATGTAACTACAAGAACCGCGTGTAACAATTTGTCCGACACAAACCCTCGGAAATTTTTATTTTATCCTTTTTATCCGAGTAAATACAATAACGCTGTTTCATCCTGGGGGATAAGGGGAAGCGGATGTGAGAGGAGTCGGGCAGGGTCCTTGTGTTGCTATTTGCTAACAGAGAATCTATAGAAAGACAAGAGGGGAAAACAAAAAAAAAGGGCTAAATAGGGCGGGCAAAGAGAATACATGGTCCAACCTAAATGGCCGTGAGTATCAATAATTAAGAATAGGAACAATTACGTGATGGGCATGTTCAGGGGCCAGTGTTTGCAGTAACTGGCATGAGTTCAAAACTCAAAAGGTGTTTGAGAGAGACAAGACAGTCCCAACCAACGACCGTTAACGGACGACTCGGTCCAATACTTAAGTGGAACCGCGACGGCAGGCACTGCATTCCTCAGGAACCACTCCGTTAAGTTGGATAAAGAGGCTACAATTTGTAGGGCCATCTATGGACAGTGCCCTGAGTTGCGAGGGCTACTAGGGCTTCAAACCCATACTTAAGGATCAAGTGCCTCACTGTGCTAACGACAATATGATACCATTGCTGGCCCCAGTAAAATCTATCAATTGCCAGTGATTGAAAACACTGCCTTTTAGAATTGGGATTGTTGGTTAGAAGGTGATTCCAAAAGCTTTAAATGGTTCTTCACTCATTTCTGATGTTTCCCTTTGCGAAGAGGTGCAAACAGGAATTGAAGGAATCTGTCCCTCCGAGGGTCATATATATCAAAACCCTTAAGCAAAGGCGCTTTCATTAGACTGCCCTTTATTAAACTTTATATTTTACCATCGTGGTGAAAGTTTTGAGGGGGGGAAAAAATTCAAGAAAGGAAAAATCGAAAAACCGATGGAACAATGAATGAAGGCAACCCAGTGACTGGGGACTTAAACCCGACTCTTGCTTTTCAAGTTCTAGCAAAGTGGAAAAAGGCAAAGGAAGGAGGAGAAGGAAGAGTTTGGCATCAGAAAGGAGCTCTTTTGAAGGTAATAGTCGACCTGTGCGGTAAATGTAGGAGTTAATCTTGGCAAATGACCGAAAATAAGAGGTTGTCCGGGAAGTTATACAGTGCTAGTTTCGGCAAACATCCTACATCCATCCAGCAGTAGGACCACTACCCGGCAAAGCACCTTTCAAAGACTTCTTTGGTCGTAGGATCCAGAGTAACCTGATTTGTATTATCATGGCTCAATATCTGTTTACTCAACATTAAAAGACAGCCATAACATCCCTTAATTACCACTGTATAAGGACTGACGACAGTCTCTAAAACTGTGTCCGTTGTGGGTCCGATAAGGAAGATATCAACATCATAGTTGGTGGTCTTGTCTACGTGCTTCCCCATCAAAAGAAATAAAAGGAAGCTGGACATGTGCAATAGCCTTTATACTAATTGGGATGGGGATACTTTTGTCCTGATAACCGGGTCTGGATGATTCGTTGTGAAATTTTGAATGGTATTTTAAATTAGTTATTAACTAATCTCTTGAGCAAACCATTATAGGATATATGGGCTTGCTGGGCTGCAACTACAGCAAACAGTCACCGTGATCAAATGAGAGGCCGAGCCTGCTAACTTCGACACTAGCGAATTGAACTAAAAACGGAAGAAGAAGATGTCGAGGGTGCCTCTATCTCAGTAGAGCTATACGGATGGAATTGGGGTTGTTGGCTTAGCAATCAAAGCACCTTCCTCACAAGTTGGATACACACACACACACACACACACACAAGTTGGATGTTGCATTACTGCATAAACTCTAATTCTCACCCATAAACCTCATAGCTTGATTAGATGAACTGGACAGTGGGATCAGATATGTGAAATTAAATATCTTAGAATCAACCATCAACCATTCAAAATATTCCATGAAGCACTCAGCCAACCCGGGAAGTTGCACTCAAAACCTTCACTGAATTCATGTGTCAGTAATTCACGTTCAACATGACGGGATTTTTGGATTCAATTTAACTCCAGCCAAAGCTGCATTTGAGGGCTATCAATTTAACTGGATGCTGGCCGTTATAAGGTCTCCGTTCCCCCCCCCCCCCCCCACTCCATATTTACTTGGATTGTTGACGTCTTAAATTCACAATTAATACTCTCCCTTTTGCGCTCATGGGTTACGGAAGTCGTTAGAATACATCAATCTGCAGCCACAATAAAACGGAACAAGTAACTTGGTTAACTGGAGATTTCATCTTGTAAGACTATAGCATGAAATGTGAACTACAGTTAGCACTCGTTTGAAAGAAGTCACTAACATGTCTACCCGCAAATTCGATTGTCAACTCAATACTGCATTGACATAAACGAAATTAGAATTAGATGTAGCGAATGAAAACAGATGCATTTCCACTTACTTGAGCTATGAAATTCAGTGAACTCCCTTAACTATTTTCACCATTTATTTTTCCATTCATAGATGATTCCGGTCCCGTAGCATCACATTCGTTCGCTTCTTTTGGATTGCAGCACTCAGGCTTTCTTCTAAAGCCTAATCTTTTTGGGAAAAGGCTCCAACTTTTTTTCGTCTTTGCTAATTTCTGAAGCTCATTCTTGATGCTTGAGCATTCCTTCTCAAGCTCTGAAACCCGTTCTCTCATGTTTTCAGCATCCAGTGCAGGGCCATTACTCTTGGGGAGGCCAAGGCCCCCATTGGTGGTTTGTGAATTCTCAAGATTGTCTGAAACAAAGAACCAGCCAGAAATTGATGTGCGGAGACGAAGCTGTTCAAAAAATAGAACTTGCACAACTACTCTTAGTGGCAGCCTTTCATTTTGCGCCGCATGGGTGCTTGCTTCCAAGGAGAGTTTCTGGCAGTTCATTAGTCTGCAAATTTGCTCCCTTTCAGAATCTGTCAGCCAAGGATGTGCCTGGAGTTTCCACATGATTATGTTAAACTTAAGGTATTTAACCAGATAAGCAATGATTTAAAGGGGAAAAAAAAATGTAGGCACTCGATATCCCTTTGGAGCAAATACGTTGAATGGTCTCGGTACTACTCACAAAATAAAAAGAGGGGGAGAAAGAGAATAATCGCGTCATTCTTTCCTCATTCATTATTTCCTTTTTCACTTGTTATACTTCTTAGGCAATCTTCTCACCCTCACTTTCCCAGTTCCAAAGTTCTTTCAAGCAAAAATAATTCTAAGCCAAAAGGATCAAGATCTTCATCAATTGTAGTTAGATATGGTGTTGAACATTTTGGAAAAGTTCTTATTATCAATGCCAAATCATCCAGTCAATTGGAAGTGAGGAAAATGAACACAGACACATTTCTACCGGAAGCTATAAAATACAGCATAGCCTTACCTTGAGGTATACGTCAATTGCATGATATAAACCATCTCCAAGTGGCCTGGCATAATCTGGAATTGCAGCAGCAAGTGCCTGAAACTTGGGCAACTTCAAATTAACATCTGGGGCCACCTCAGCAAGATATCCATCCACCAAATTTGCCACCATTGTCATAGGTGTCAGTGTATCAGTCTCGCCAATCAATGGCCCCTCTTCAATTATGCATGGAGAAGCTGATACAGATGCAGGCTGGTATACTGACAAAAAATTATCAAGAACCCTCTGAATGCAATCTACGTCATAGAGAGTCTCAACTGAGTATCCCATGTTTGGAATGAGAAGATCCACGAGCATAGCCTGATCTAGTTGATATCCAACCCTTTTCTCCAAAAGTTCTCTGCATGATGGACTTGCATGCAATATCATTGCTGTACGAAGCAGCCTAAGCAGACTCTTGGAGGATGTGACCCCTCGCTTATTAGGAAGCAAGTTCACAATTTCTTCCAGTAGAGCCCTTTGATCTGCTTCAGAAGTAGTAGAAATGGTTGTCCCTGGGTTGAGATGATTTGCATCGTTGAAGCTTGATTGCCTATTCATCAACGGGAGAAACCTCCTAACATAATATATCAGAGATCCAGCAATATTCTCAGGTTTCATACCTTTTGATTCAATGGCTAAAATTAGTCTTTTATATAGAGATAGGCTTAAGAAGGACACATCCTCATACCACCAATTTTCACCTAAAGACGGGGGTTTAATCTCAGAAGAAATGCCATTCCATAACATAGCTGCTTCCGGACTCTGTGTGCTATTACGTGCTGCCATGGGCCAATTGAATAAGTTGGGATCTGAACAAGCCTTCATAGCCAAAGAATCAATGCATCTTGAAACAATGTGCAGCTCTTCTGCATACGATTGGACTTCTTCACATGTTTCAAGAGCTTTTATGGAGTCTGGCCAATTACTGAAAACTTCATCAAGTAAAGCCTCTGTCTGTGATATGAGATTCCCTTCACCATAATTTTCAGTCATTTGGAGGTATTCTGCCGCACATCTGAGGCTGACTACATTTAATGCCGTGATTTCTATTTTAACACCGTAGCAAAACTTGGTTACGAGCTCGAATGTCTTAGCTCCGCCAGGCACATCGTGAAGCTGCATAACGCAAGTTGATCCATCGTCGTTTGGGAACTCGGCAATGAGTCTTTTTAGTAGCCCACTTCTAGAAAGCAATGGGAACTGCACAAAGATCAACAAGGGGGAAAGAATCTAAGTTTCAGCATGAAAGTGTAGTTGCGTCCAGTTGACTGTGAGCGAAAACAAATTAAAAATAAAAATCACTGAAGAAAGTACATGCATAGAAGGATCCTTTTCAATAATCAAAGTTCAATTAAAATATGCACCTTGTGGAGATAAAAGGACATCTCGCCTACTTCAATGATAACATCGCTTGGAAGTCCTGATGTGCAGATCCTGAATGTAAAATAAAATGAAGACTGATGAGCCGAACACAAAATGACATTGTAAAGGCATTTCCCGGATAACAATATGCACTTGTGAAAGCAATAAAGAATCCAACAAGTTCAGTGTGATACAGAACTATGAAGGTGAGTTGTTTGATGCCTGCCCACTACTTCGGAACAAAGTCTATAGTTGTAAAATAAATTACAGAAGTGCCACTCAGCATATTAGATCATTGGATTTGGCATCTCTCCCTGATTATAACGAACATGTTTCGAGAAAATTAAAGTTTATCAGTCTGTCACCTCGAAATGATTTTACATGTTGACGTCCATAACAGTTTTATTAATTCTTCCTTTGCATGTTTAGTATGAAATCATTCCCGCTTAATGTCATCGACAATGTTATAAAAACAAACGAGAAAACCATGCAAGTATTTCATGTTTTCTGCTAGGGGTAATATCATTAGTGTATGCTAGGAAACGGAAATGTTCTTTTCTTTACTATTTGCTATAGGAGACCAAATGTTTACATATTCATCCCCCGACTACTCAGGAGATGGCATGGCATGCACCACTTACATTTTTGGCTTCCCCGGCCAAGCAATTAGGCAGCTAATTGACAGGCATTTAAAACACCTATCTTCTTCTTATTATTTTATTTTCAGGAGACAGTTTCTGCATTTTGATCACAAAGTCAGATGATGTGACTAAAGGGACTTTGCGGACGATACTGAAAACCTTAAGCAGTTGAATTCCGAAAGGGAATGATCAGCAACTAAAGCAGGGTTAATACCTGATCGATCGGTTTAGGAATCAGAAAGGCTGAAGAATTAGGAAATGTGTATTGATCAAAGAACCAAATAAGGAAAGGCTTACCAAGATTGGCCTTCCAGGCGGAAAGATTCGGACTTTGATCCCAGCTTCAGGAACGCCATTTGTTGCTTGTTGAATCCGAGAGAGGATGGAAGTTAAACTAAGAAAAAGGAGAAAGATGGAGCGCCCAGAGAATACGTGGAATAGGGGTGAAGAGGGAGGAAGATGAAGCAGGTGGGGGAGTGAGAAAGGAGGGCATAAGAGTGAAGTAGTTTCATAGCGAATGTGCTCGAGAAAAGGTAGCGAGTCTAAAGCTAGTAACTGAAGCAGCGAAAGAAACGGTTGCCATGGCTACATGGAAAGCTCGATCACGCTCCTTTCTCGCTCTCGCTTCCCATGTCAGCTTCAAATGTTACCCACATGAAATGCCACGTCACCCTCCCAAATTTGTTGCCAAGTAACAAATCTTATTTCTGCATCTTCTACTCTCATTCTCTCACTGCCCTATTCTTTATTTGTAATATTCTACTATGTATTTCTCTCACATGTGTAATAGCAATTTTTATTCTCGTTTTTTATTATTATACTTATTCCGGTTATTAATATAAGACCCTATTTGACTTTTATTTTGGTCCTAAATATAAGATCCCAATTCACTTTGTCTCTCATATTTATACATTTTTTTCAAAATAGCCCTTCTAACAATGATAGTTTTAGTCAATATACTTGATTAGTAAGGATATTTTAGGAAAGACAACACCGATTTAGGACAAATAACTAACTCAACTTACTTCCTTAATCTTATCAAATTAGTCAACAGGCTCTTATAATTTAATTAGGACCGGAGGTAGTATTTTTGTTAACTTATTGTTTATCGTGTTTTAAAATGACATTAACTTTTGAACATTTTCTTCTTCCCGTACTATCAAATTGAAATCCTTTAAATAAAAAGATTGGGGGGAAAAAAAACAGGATGCTTAGCTTGATCCGCACTTAAGGTGCTTGTTTTCAATTAAATTCATTAAATGACAAACATGTGGATTTTTATATATTATTTATTCCATAACAAATTATTATTATTATTATTATTAGTAATTAACACTTTAGAATTCATTTATTGGATGAAAATATATAAAGTTAACTAAATGATACTCTCTCGATCTTTAATATATGACCTAATTAACTAATTTAAATATATTAAATATATTAATTAAATTAATTAATACGATACATTTTTTCTAATACATTCTAAATATCTTTCTTAGTTTTTTTACCCTTTTTCCTATTTGATATTAATGGAATACTATCAATAGAGTTGATTTTAAAAAAATTGATAAGCATAAGAAAAAAGTTTTACAAATACGACCTTTAATCATATTTATACGACCTCATTTGTAGTCTAACAATGAAGTCTTATAAATAGAACCAGAAATAGTATAATCAAAATTACTTTTTTAATTAGGTCTTATAAAGCATTACTAATTAGCTGAAAAATAACATATTTCTCTAATTTTAAATATAAGACTATTTTATAGTGTAAATATAAAAGAGGCCTTATATTTAAAACGTACATTATAAACCGATAATAATAATTTGGAAGTGGTTGGACGCATCTTCCAAACAAACCTCTCTTCCTTGACCAGCGAGTGGTTAATGTCAAATCGGGACACAGAGAAACAAAAGTGGAGTTGACTTAGCGATCGAATTGATGAGATAATTATGCATGAGATGACTTGCTTGATGGGACACCAGAATCACAGAAATGGGGGGTAAAAATGGAAGCCAACCCATAAAAATAACAAGTAAGGAATGTAGAAGCCGGATTTTAAGCACCCAGCGCACTAGTCAGGTGATTTCCTTTTCCTTGAAAAACGAAAAGTTCAACCAAACCCTGTAATTTCCCAGATCTGGAGCTGGATCATGTGGAAATGAGTTCTGTTACTGGTTTGACATTTCCAATGAACTCGAAATCATGGAAGGAAAATGACCTGGAAGGAGGGAATATATATATATATATATATATTTCCAAACTGGAGAATCGCAACGGGATGGATGTTAATAAAAATGTCTGGAAATGTTGGCTTAACAATCACGCCACGTCGCCAAGCAAACGGGAATTTTTAATTTTGAACCTCGAGCAGAAGAAGACGTAAAGGGAAGGCTTGAGCAGTGTTTTGTTTTGTGTGGATCGAATTGAGGTGATGGGAAACTACCTGCCAGGTGCATATTGCACTTGCACCTTTTCACCTCCTTTCTATCCATGCTCCGCTTCACGGAAAGCCGTGTGTTTTCCTCTTCAGATTATTTTGATTCTTGTTTATTGATTAAAATTAATTCTGATCATTGATTTCTATTAATAATTATACAGGAAAAATCATATTAGAGATGTCTATACTTTCTCTCAATTTTTAATTTAATACCTATATATTTTTCTTAATTAAATCATTTAATTTTATTTTTTTAATAACATTAGCTCTTATAATTTTGTTCTATTAATATTTTTAGTCTCTATGCAAATGATAACAATATTAATAGAATAAAATTCAAAATTCAATTAAGAGAAAAAAATACAAAAGTTCCAACCTAAAAAATTAAAAGAAAGTATAAGTATCTTCAAAATGGTTTGCCAAATTATATACTCCTCCGGTCCTTATTATAAGACCCAATTTGACTTTTTATTTGGTCCTAATTATAAGACCCAATCTATTTTCTCTCTTATATTTATGCATTTTTTTCCAAGATAATCCTTCTAATAATGATAGTTTTAGCCAATATACTTAATTAGCAAAGATATTTTAGGAATAACAACATTTATTTATTATAAATAACCAACTTAACTTACTTCCTTAATCTCCTCAAATAAGTCAATTGGGTCTTATAATTAGAACCGGAGGAGTATTTATATATGGCAGACCGTGCAGACCAGGATACAAATAAAAATTAGTAGAAATGCCGGGGTAACAGGCCGATGAACGAAATGAGGGAATGCTTCTTCTATTCTACCCCGTCCTTTTCCTCCTTTTGGGCCGTTCTTGAAGCCCAATCCTTTTTGGTCCAAACAATAACAAAACTGTAAGACTCCTCCGATCCTATTTGATTGTTAAAAAATGATTTTAACTTAAAAGATATCTGAAAATGAAATCAAAATAGTTAAAAAATGATTTTAATTTTCTAAATTTTTTTTTAAAAAATACCCATAAATTCAATTTTTTCCCCAAAATATCATTATATTTAAAATTGTTTATTGTAGATATTAGTCCTTTTGGATATTTTTGAGAAATTTTTACTATCTTTATATGAACTCGTGATTTATATTTAGTTTTTTTAAAATTGCTAATTTTTTCAATTAGGTGGGAGATTATACTTTTTTCAGGCCATGTTGCAGGAGCTCTTTTTAAGTTTTTTTTAAATGATAAGTACAATTATTATTTTTTAATTTAATTGGAAATCCTATTTGAGAGACAAGAAATCATGTTATTTTTTTTTTTAGCAAAAGGTTTAGATGAGTTGAGTCGGAAAGTTTACTAAGGCCAGGCATGCCTCCAAACTCAAAAGGTACTTATAGAGGTATTTACAAATCGCCTTTCGACAAAGTTCTCATATCAATAACAAAATCTGAACTAACACTTTCAAGCCAAATTCTTATCAACTAAACTAACTTTTATGGGCCAAACATATTATATTTTAAAAAAACACATCAGCAGCAGTCGAGCAAGGTCAGAAGCTCTGGCCAAAATGGGTTTTACCAGCATGACCGCCTATGACATAGCTTGAGTACTCTAGTGCAGAAAGATTTACAGGGATCGCAATCCCTACTACTTAGTTTTCTCCTTTAGGCTTTTAGCCTTTTTGTGTATTAAAAAAAAACGGTGGCCCACCATTTCTTGGGCTCACTTCACCGACTCTGAAGGCCACTCCAGAAGTCGGTTGAAAATGTTAAGAAGCCCGCTACGCAAGGAATCCTTAAAAAGTCCTTTTTGCTATATAAAGGCCTAAGGTCGGCTGGAGGTAATGTTGTGTTTCGTCGACTGCAAGGGATTGGGAATTAGGGTTTCAGGCTTTGTTACGGAGTCAAAGATGATCGAGGTCGTGTTGAACGATCGATTGGGCAAGAAGGTCCGGGTGAAATGCAACGACGATGACACCATAGGCGACCTGAAGAAGCTGGTGGCGGCGCAGACCGGCACCAGAGCTGACAAAGTTCGCATTCAGAAGTGGTACACCATTTACAAGGATCATATCACTCTGAAAGATTATGAAATTCACGATGGCATGGGCCTTGAACTGTACTACAATTAAGGTGTTTTTTCTTTCCCTTCATTTTCTCATGGTTGTCATTCGTAAATTGTTCTGACTTTGTCTTGTGGCCTGGCTCTTGTGACGTCTTAGAAATCTTATGTCTTGTGTGAACTATTTTGTCATCGATGAACTTGTAATTTCCTCATAATTGTAGTGTTTATGGTTACGGATTCGGCGATCAGTGATACTGGAACAGGCAAATATGTTTATATGACCGTTTGTCAGAACATCGACCGATTATAGAACCATTCGATTTTGTCGGTTTGATTCCAATTGTTTAGCTTGTGCCTCGAAAATTTCCAACAATTTGTTTTTGTTAGAACAACCGCAGTACTTCCATTATTCGAATTTATTTCTTTGTTGTGTGAGTTGTATCTCAGAAATGATATTTACTATTTGTCAGCGCTTTCCCTGTGGACATGCGTGAATGGTTGATATTTGATTGTGCCAGTGCGGGGGGCCTAAGGGGAAGAAAAGGTTAAACAAGTACTGGGGGTTGTTTATTTTCAATTTATTTGCTTGCACTTTTCGTTGTAGTTCATCATTGTATTAGCTGTAGTTGAACCTGGCTAGTTGCTGGGATAATATTCAGTGTGATTGTGGTGTCACAATCAGTGAAGCAAGGACGCTGTGCGCATGTCAAGTTCATGTTAGGGTCGCTGCTTCTAGGACAATTATTTTTTCTTTCTTGTAAATGAAGTTACGCTGGTTGTTGATTGCTTCATTGCTTGGCAAGATAAGGAAACGTTGACACCATTTAGTGGATTTCTATTGTCATGGAATGTATTGTTTTTCAATAGTGTTGTATTATTCATGTTCTCTGGAGCACCTCTGCACTTAAGCATCTTCTGTCAATTAGCTTGTTATCTAAGCATATAGCTGGAAGTACTTTACTCAATGCGTCAACAAGCTTGCTTTATTGTCCTGTTACAAATATGTCCCATGATACATGGAAGCTTTATAAGATGTTGATGTTGCCTTATGGGGAGGTGCTGCTCGCCTTCATATGGCATTCTAGGAATATGACGTGAGATTTTGAGTTGATTTCAGTTGTATATTTTTGAACAGCTTGGCATTTTCTACCCATAATCAGAGTGATTACCTGATTAACGAGGTTATAATTTATGAATTTTCTGTGGTCGTCTATCTTAAGGTGAAAGGAGCATTCAGTGCCATTGCTAATTATGCATTTAGAGGTGCATATTCTTCATATTCATGTATGAATTCTTATCATTGCATCTATGGTGTGCATATTGTAAGTATTTGATATTTTGTGGGGAGCTCGTGTTTCCTCTCTCCTTTCTATGAAATAGCTAACTTCAGAAGCTAAACATTAAGTTATTTGATCAAGAAACAATATGAGCATATTGCGGTTTATCTTTTCCCTTCATGTTCCTTTTCTGTACAACAGCTCTTTTGGGATTTCTTTTGGGCGTTGGAAATTTAAACCACATGAGCCTTGAGCCGAATGATGCTCATTTTTAAAAGGCCGGTATGTTGTATATCGAGTTGCGATTGGAAGGGTGGGGACAATTTTCATGCTAGAACCGATGACTGATCTTGATTTATGGGTGATTTATGAGAGAAATTTTGCATACGCCCATATGTATTTCTGTCTTCTGTGGTGTCTTTTATATGCTGCTGAGAACTAGAGTAGTATGAGCACCTGGAAAAAGGACTTGGGATTTTGGACTGTTACCAATTTGATTACAAGTAACATATATGCCTATATCATAGTTGAAACACCTAAACGTGTTTTTTTTTTAATAAAAAATAATAATATATGTTTCTTTTCGTAGTCTTACATTATGGTAAATTGTTTTCCTTTTTGTTTCAGGGCCTTTACATGGCTAGGAGCTGGGAGCAGTGTCGACCCTAGGATCTCTCTGTAATTTATGTATACTGGTAGACTTGTTGGCTTGGAATAATGTATCTATATATATTACTTGCTTCTGGGTTTTACATGCCTAGACTGTGATCTAATCGCTCTGATTGGCGAAGTGTCTGATGATTGCCAATTGCTTGTCGCTTCTTCCTCCTTTCGACATTTGCCTCCACCTCCTCCTCCTGGCGGGGTTTGGGCCCATGCTTCCGCCATATCAATTTTCAGTGAAGTGTACATTCAAACTCCTATGAATGATGTTATGGTGTGTCTAGATTGGAGTTTACAAATTTGATTCTGGTTGCAATTAATTTTGGAATCAAGTTATTGGAACGTGATGTGTTTAAATACTAGTTTAAAACTGGTTTTGATGAAATGGAATATGTTTAACGTGTGATCATTAAAAAGGATATATGGTAATATATCTGTTTATAATACCTTTGTAAGTGAATTTAGTTATCAACAATGATAATAATTTCCCTGGTAAAACAAGAACAATGATAATAATTTTGAAGAATTATTTATTTGTTTTGTAACGAAAGACTATTTAAATAGTCGATGATATGGATCATTGATCAAAATCAAAGGGATCACACGATTCTTAAAATAAATAAAATAAAAAAATGTGATTTGGTACATGATATGTTTAAAAATTCATAAATACGCTTAAGATGTGGTTCTAGATTCCTAGGCTGACTGAAAAACTCGTAGCATTACTTTCGGTCCTTGTTATAAAATTTTGTTTGTAATTTATAAATAGAATCAGAATTAGTATTAAAAATTGAACGAGCTAGGTTGGATTGAAAATCAGCCAATCAGTCACCTGGTCTTGTTGATGGGAAGAACTTGAGGTGATTTGATAGATCTTAGTCAACTAAGGAGAAATCTAGTTAACCCAACCAGTTTAGCGGGTTAACCAGATTTTTTTTTTCTCAAACAAGTTTTCATGTTAAAAATTATTAGTTTAGTGACTAAAGGATTGTAGATAAAAATATTTTATCATCATAATTCTATTTTGACATCATAATTCTATTTTGATAATTTGCTAGAATGAATATTTAATAATTTTAATTGTATAATAATAGGATATTATAATATAATAATAAGAAAAATTGAAAAGAAAATGTGAGTATATGGTTATTTTGTTAAAGATATTGAATTGATATTTAGTCTTTTGGATGGTATGATGAGAATTTAAATTGATTATTATTTTTATTTTTTCTTTACATGTTTGATCTTAGTTTAACTTTGGTCTGACTTACTAATTTTTAAACTACTATCACGACCTGTTTAGAGGCCGGATTTTCAATACCTTAAAAAAACCTTTTACCTCAGTTTTCTTCTGACCCTAGCACGCTGATAGACTCATTCTTTTCTCACTCTCTCGACCTATCCTTTCTTTCTCTGCTTTCTTAAACCTCGTCCTGCTGATCCTTTCGGCAATTCCCAAACCTTCAAACGTCACTGTGTTTTGAGAATACAATGAAAACTAATCATGTAACAATAAAAGAAGATGGGGGAAAGTGGCTAGTTGGTAAGAACCGAGTGTATATATTCATAGATGCAACAACGAAACTTGTCAATGATGGCGAAACAAGTGGTTGCATTTTAAGCTCCATGAACTTGAGTTATTTCTGGTTTCTGGATTGTTATTTTTGCTCATTCGTGTTGAATATTGTGTCAGGATTCTTTTTGTGGGTGCCTAATGAATCAATAAAAGCTTTCCATTTTGCATCGTCCTTCATTATCTGCATTCGATAACATTATCGGTAGCTGAGGAGAATTTTAATTTCACCAAAAACTGTAGTCTGATAGAATAACCAAGTTCATGCAAGCTTGTCTGCGAGCTTCTTCCTAACACATGGTTTCCGAACCACATTTCAGAATGTTGCAAGAGTTTGGTTCAATGTACTAACAAGAGTGGGTGGATATCAATAAGGACGATCTATGTCGTGCATAAAATCTGATATTTTTGAATTTGGCTCTCTTCATTTATTTTTCCGCCCACTTCGTCCCCATTTTCCATCTCAAGTTCTCAACTTTTGGATCAAATTTTGAATGGTTAAAATTTAATATGCTTTTTATTTTTCTTAATTGATTCAATTGAAATTGTCAACTCATCCTTGAGAGACCCAGGGATGCTTAACTTCTTGAAAGTGAAGATTCTTCTTTCTTGGTAAATGGATTTTTGTAGAGAGGCCTCATATAATTTGGGAGAAAATTTATTTTTTTAATTAACTTTTAACTCATTTATAACTCGGTATTTCAATTATGACTCCTGTGACTCAGTCTCTAATTCTAATTATTCTTGTTATATATAACTCATCCTACGTGGCAAAAAGCGAGAAGCCGTGAATTGATTAAAGGGCCAAACTGGAATCATAATTTATATCTATATCTATATCTATATAGGTTATTGGTCTTTTACAAATTTTGTACACCTCGCGTGCCAGTGCTTTGATTTGAGGAATTGTGAAATGATTTTGTTGTTACGGAAGCATATAATACGGAAGCTGCTCAACTTCTCTACTAAATAGTGAGGCGGGTATCACCACCATCCCACTCTTGCTACTGATCTCTATTCTTTATTGTAATGGAAGATTTGTCATGACACTTCTGCCTTTCATTTGATGACTGCACTCCCTCTGTCCCCCCCCCCTCCTTTCATCGGGTGGGATGTGCGGTTATATCATTTCTAGAGGGTAGGACTTCGATATCAATTTGTCAGTTATGTTTACCTATATCTTTGACGGTGACGGTTTTCCTATTCTTCTTCATTTTAATTATTTTTCCAGTGGCGCATGAATGAGTAAGAGCGTAAAACGCTACAGGTATCACGAAAGGAGGGACCGGTGGTCAAGGTCAAATCGTAGCGATTTCGGTCATCATAAAATTCTAATCAACTTGAGGCATTTGGCCCCCCCCCAAAAAAAAAAAAAACACAATGAGAGCAGGATTCTTCAGTTTCAGTCTGCGTTTGACCAAAAAGGCATGGAACTATTCGACCTTAATTGCTGGGAGGGCATTTTGTGGAACGTTCATGTTTGTTATTTCAATTTCTTAGTTCGTGTTTGTTATTTTACGACTTTATCCTTACCAAATTGGCCGGTCTCAGGAGTCGTGGGTTAATGAAAACTGAAAACAAAAAACACGGCGTTACACGAGAACAGTGCTCGGATGCTCAGAAATCAAGAATAGCCGGCTCACATCATAACTGAACATCTTACATTAATTATTAATCTTAGACGAGGCTGTATGTGACGGGCATGACCCGAGTACCCGACCCTTACGTGTTGCTCTAACCCATTCATCCTTATTCCTATATACAGACGTATTAATAATGCTCTTACCCAACTCTGCATGTAAAACTTGCTGTTTATATGGTCTCAATCATTATGTCCAGCAAACATCCCCAACGTAGAGCTGTAATTTCCAAGGACGTAGATGAGGATGATAAATCTCTGTACAATTGTGCAAGGAAGTACGACATCATCGGGAAACAGGTAAAAGTGTTTGCTGTTGGGCCTCAACACTGCGAGGCTAACAAGCACATGTTTTTACATCTTCAATCTTCCTCCAGTAAACCAACTCATACTTCTGCTGATCTAATATGCTTTTCAGTTTGATGAGTTGATGGGGATAATGAACAATCCAACCAATATACCAAAGTCGACGAGGGTAAGATATATTCTATCTGGTTGTTCTAATATAGCTTACACTTCTGCTCAGTCTATTGATCTATGGACTGTCTAACAGAGATATGCTATATTTGCTGTGCAATGTATATTCATGGGCCTACCTCTTTCAATTGTAAATAGAGTCGAAAAGAGAGTGCTTTTGGCACAAGCAAGACTGCTGGCTCGAGCCAACCTGAAAGCAATGGAGCACTAGCAGAAGCAGTCACCAGATTTCTCCATGAACTTAGAGTTAGCCCCACAGATTCTGGCTCGTTCTCAAGCAGCACATAAGGTTGTTTCCAAAAGTAACGAACAAGGAAGTCAGAGCCTCCAATCACTCACCCAAAATTCTCTAGTCTAACATACAACTATCAGTGAGTCAATAACTCTCGTGTGCAACAAAACAATCCATTAGTCAATAACTCTAACAAAACAATCTATTTTTTCTTTGGACATAATCTGGCTCCAAAAACTGGAATGGCTGCAAAATGAGATCATTCTATTTGGCATATATAAACAACATCATAAACTATTAGGCATTCATATTGGCATTCCCTATAAGTGTGATGGTCCAACAGAATGGCAAAGATGAGGGTGTGAGCTATGTAGGACCAAGGCTGAGTGAAGTGGCAGATGATGTGATTAGTCGTACAATAAAAAATGGCTGGTGCCTCTTGCAATCAAAATTCTTTCATGATTGGAAACGAAGGGCAGGCTCCAAATATCTGTAGATCATTCATGCTCAAATGGCCACTTCTTGAACGTAAGGCTTTTAATCATCAGAACAATGATTGTGTTAGACACCTTGATTTTTCCTCTTCAAGCTCTCGTTTTAATGTTTCCACCCTTTCAAGTAAGACTGCATTCTCCTGATAATTTAGAAGGTCATAGTACATTCAAAATGTCAGAATACAAGTCATGCATAACAAAGGAATCAAAAAGGCAAGCTGAAATTAAAAATAAATGAGAAGGGGCAAGGAACACAAACATGAATTTTTTTTAAACAGAAAATAGAGGCAGCTTTAGATTTAATACCATCATTGAATTGACAGCTAAATTGGTAGTTAAAAAATAGCAGTTCATACAAACATTGATTAAATGGTTTCCAGTTTCTCTAGCACAGAGAAGGGAATATAAGGAAGCAGAAGAAAATATATCTCAATTCATAACTTATCAAAATATACCTTCCGCAGTACTGCCAGTTTATGATTAACACTGGAAGCATTATCCAACTTCAGAGAGGAATCCTTATTCTTCCCCATACGCAACTGAAAGGTAGTTACAAGAAGGACATTGTGGGAAAAAAAATATCAATTTCTCCTCGTTTAATTCATCAAGTACCAAGACGAGTTAAAAGCGTTTGATGTGAACAAGCATATAGCCTTAGCTTATCTACCAGCTACGGATAAACAGGCGGAGGAGTAAAGTACCACCCATAATTGTAGAAGAAAACTGAAACAGAATCCTATCATACACACTGTAAGGAGAAAAATGAAAATCCAATAAAGAATGCATACCGCTTGAAGTTCATCAAAACATTTCCTTGCCTTGTCTACTTCCTCATCATACTTTAGCCTCCACTCAGCAGACTCATCCATTGCTTCCCTGTTAGCCAGATCAAACTGTCGTCTGCAAGCATTTGAGAGAGTGGAAACTCATTGTACAAGAAACTGGACAATAACTTTAAAGGTCGTTAACATAACAGAGAAGCGCGGGTTTAATTCTGAAAGTAATCTTGAAATTTCATCTAGTATAAGCCAAAAAGATCATAATTCTAACCAGCACAGGGACCTTCTTCACAATGGAAGTCCGCAATTGGTTTGAATTAAATCCGGCAAAACTTAAAAAGCATATGAATTACTTCTGCTGATGGGTTTAACTATGCACCATCAGAAGAAGTCAGCAATGCTACGCAGGTATGGCCATCAAAAAGATAGGGGGACACTTTAGCCCTCTTGCCGAACGAATAAACAAGAGAGCTTTGTTTCTTTTTTTCTACCGCGGAAGAAAAGCATTAGTTCCAAGTAAGTCTAATTCCACCGTCAACATTGATAGTTTTCAACGGACCGAACTGAGACGAGAGCTAAATTAAATTGGCGATCTGAATGAATGTAAACTGTAGCAGTCCAGCGATTGTGGAAGAATAATGTTGAGAGTAAATTGATGAAGAAGACGAACCTTAGTAGCTCGGTGTCTTCAGAAGAGACACTATAATCAATAGCCCAGAGTCTGAAATAGACGGCAGTTCCCATAAGCATTAGAAAAGCCAATCCCGCAATCAAAGACCTCCTCCTTCCCCCCATCGTTCCCTTTCCCCTCACACTATCCCGGCCGCAGCTCAGATTAACTTCGGGGGAATGCTTTTTCTTTTCTTTTCCCCTCTCTCTCTCTCTCTCTGTTTTTTTTTTTTGGTGGGGCGAACGCCGGAGGATGCTATTGGTAAATGGTAACTTTCCAACAAACACAAGTCGTTTTTCCTTTGAATTCAACACCACGCAAGAGTCAAGGCTCTAATAGCGAAAATAATCGAAGAGAATTTTTTTTTTTTGGTGGAGCGGGACAAAATTTACTTGAATTTTTATGGGAAAGAAATTGGCTTGGGGCGCTTTTTCATGTTTGTCATATTTTATGCTCGTAATCTTTAGAAATTATGGTGCATGCCTAGAATATGCAGGAAAATCAAATTTTTTGTTGCCATTTTGTGGGAAAATCAATTACATGATATTCGAACCAGGAAAAGTATACAGTGCCCCGAAAATTTTGAAACTGCGCATAACTTTGGCGTGTATTTTTATTAAAGGGTAAAGAGTCAACATAAACTTTAATCCTTCATATTTATCTTCACGTTGGTATTAGTGCCCTGAATTTTAATCTATAGGTTTTGATATCTTAAGTTTTTTTTTTATTTAGTCAAAATATTGGTTCCTATAATTTAATAAAAATTTGGATCATTTTGCTTTTTGAAAGAGCAAAACTTATAATTTGAAACTTAAAGGACTAAAATCAAAATAAGAGTAAATTTGAGGGATTAAAGATTATATTTATCTAAAAATAAAATATAAAAATAAATGTGCGTTTTCGGGTAATCCTTGCAGGCTTTAAGTTGTAACATGAACCGGAAAGAACGTGGCGTTGGACTGTTAGTTGCGATCCATTAGAGCAAGTCCAATCTAATTTATCGTCAGCAACAAGCTTGGGTTCTTTCTTGCCGGACCCATCTGCCCCGCCAAGTCAATCAAAGGACCCACTGTCCACAATACATGTGTCCTTAGTTGCAGGGGAATTTTGTTGCTGGAAATGACTCCAAATAACCTGTAGAGATGGTTAAACTTAAGAAAAATTAGATATTTTTTTATGAAGTTTACATAATGATTAATGTTGCAGCCGGAGTTGGTGAAGTAAAGGGGAAAAACCAGGGAGACAAATCAAGCACTTGCGCCCCTTGTTTGATGGTGTCACATTAATTCCCATGAGAATCAATTAATTATTCCTGGTTTCTTCGTCACCGATGCGGACGCACAACTAGCGTACCAAAAAATCAGACTGGTTACTGAATGGTTCAAGATAATAGATCAAGAGTTAGTGAGTCAAACCAGAATTAAACTGATGAAAAATTAAAAAAAATTAAATTTTTATCAAGGACTAAATATTAATTCATTACCTTGAATTACAAACAAAATAATTATATACTTACAATTTATTTAATAAATTGACATCATAGTGGAGTATTATATTAAAAAAAAATCACTATACATTAATCCAATAACCCTGGCAGACTATTAAAATAGATATATGATAACAAAATATTCCTGCTTACAATCTATTAATTCCTAAACTAATGAGTATCAATAGTTTAAGAGAAAAGAAAATTTTTTTGACTCAAAATAATTTTTTTTTTATTTTAAAAAAAGAGCAACCGTGTTAGCTGGTTTGGTCCGGTTTATATCAGGTTACTTTGACTCCAAACTGTATGGTCAAACTGAACCGGTTACTTGGCCGGTTCTGGGCTGAAGCCTAGGTTTGCATACCATGCGCACAACCTTCCAAAATACTTCCATTTTTCTGCGTTTTTCATGGAAGACTGATGCTTGTTGTTGAACACTTTTCTTGTCCAATTTATGTCACTTGATTGCCCACGCCAGCATGCACCCCCCTGACCCACCAAACAAAAAAAGAAACAGAGAAGGGAAATTCGAGGAGAGGGTGAGTGGGGAAAGCTTTCGCTCCCTCTACTGTCTGAAGGAAATCCTGATCGTGAATAGACTCATGTGAAACAATGTCAAACAGGAGCAATGGCCAGACTAGCAGTTAATAATTCCAACTAAACTATCCTAATTACCCAATTATAACTTTGACTAAATCGTTTTTTTAACATAAATTCTCATATTATTATGCTCATACAGTCAGCTAGATTTCATTCTTTTTCTTCTGATCTCCGGCATTGTTTTAAAACACCCGGCTGAAAAACAAGCAACAAACGCTTGATCTAACTAATCACACATTCTCGGTCCGCCATTGCCTAATTTCTTATAGACTGGCTTTGCATCTTGCAATGGATGTCTTTTTCCTTTTTATAGTTACCCTCTGAGTTATTATCTGTATTTCCTCCAATGACTTTATATTTGGAACCGCTTTCATCACTGAACAAAAAGCTGAGTTACTCACATTTAAGTTGTTGGTCAATTTTATCATGTTTTTTATTTGGGGAAAAAAAAAGGAAAGAAGGTCCGATGACTCGTTCAAAATTAACACGGCATTAACGATGGTCAGCAGGAAAAAGTTTTTTTTTTTTTTTTTGGGGCGCCGGAAGTAGGTATGAGTTTGAAGAGAGTTGGCATTACCAATGTCGTCAGAAATAATAAATCTTGACAAAATTTTAGGAGTGACGAAAATCTTATCCAGAAAATTTGATTTCTTCCTTGTGGGTTTTCTTGGGGATAGAGACACCACGCATTGTTGGGTGTGTATTTAAATATGGGTGAATTATTCAGAAGTTGGAATTGCAAAATCATGACTTTTTATTATTCAGAAGTTGGAATTGTAAAATCATGACTTTTAATTCAATCCTCCGTCAACTCTATCCCTTTTTTTGCAAGATCTGGAAGTGTTTGTTATATGAGAAAAGTATTTTTAAAAACACTTTTTTATAAATTAAGTTAAACTCTTTTACGTATTTATTTTGTATATCGTAAAATCACTTTGAAAACTCATAATTTAGAGGGTGTTTGGGAAGCCCAATACATATTTTTCAGAAATACTTTTCCGTAAAATGAGACAAACTCCTCCATATATTTATTTTATATATACTGTAAAAGTACTTTTAAAACTATAGTTCTAAACAAGCTGAAGAATCCGTTTTCAAACAAGCTGAAGCTCTGCCTTGTTCGGCCAGGCGGAAATACACACACATATGCGGGCGTATATAAAGACTATTTTTTTAAAAAGAAAAAAAAAAGTATTGTCTTCCCTATTCCATAAGACTATAAAAAATAATTAATAATTAAAAACTATTTTTTATTATATGACGATATTATGGATTTTGATTTTCCTTGGATGGAACCATAGAGGTTTAGCATTGTTAATCCGGAAAAGGGCGTGACCTGAATTTTACTCCAAGGCGTATGTTGTAGCTAAGCTGTGCCTTTCTCACCAACGTCAATCCATAACCCATCTTACTCATTGCGTCTCCCCCTCCCTTTTCTTTCTCATTCCGCCGTCAGTGACGTGCTTCCTCTTCCCATCATTTTTTTTTTTTTGCTTTTTAATTTCTTTGCCCCAAAAAATGAAAATTGCAAAGACAGAGCTGAACATAGAGTCTCGTGATGGGACTTCAAAGAGCATTCATACAAGCACGAGGAGAGGAGTGGTCCTGGTTTTAAAATCCTGTACACACAAAATCAAGGAGTCTCATTGTCAATAATAGTCATAAGCGCTCCTTAACTTCCTACTTAAAAAGTCGCACAACCTAGCCAATAGTCTTACATACAGGAAGACAAAAGAAGGACAAAATGTCTGTGAAAACACAGAGCATGATGGTGGTTTTCCGAAACAGAGTAAGCTAGACCAAGACGACAGCCATTAGATGATCATATCGTTTCCTAAATCAAAATTGCCCAAAAAAAAGGTTATCGCTTTCCGATCAGGCGATCACCATCTCTATACTCTAATGACTGTGATGTGAGATCGAACACTAATCTTCAAACCCCACTTTCTTCCAAATGGCATTTCTGACCCTGCGCAGGTCTCGCCCTTTGAGGGTCCTCCCGATCCCTTCGTGCACGGACAGAGAAGCCCCTCTGGTCCTAGCCAGATACTCATGCGGAGGTATCTTCATTTCTCCGTCCTCCTCGCCCTCGTCTTCATCGTCAACGTCATCGTCTCTCTCCTTCTCACGGTGCTGTTTATACTCCTCCTTCAGAATCTTAGACCAGTCCGGTATGTTCAGGGGTAACGAGGCCGATCCCCCTGGGTCCACTCTGCCGCCACCTTCCACCTTCCTGGAAGGTATCTTCAGACCCGATCGCGAAATCGACAAAACCTTCTTGCTCTCTGACGTGTCGCCGGGGACATTCCAGATGTCAGCTTCATCAAATTCCAACACACCCTCTGAGGATTTGGGGTCGAAGCGGATCTCTGAGGTTTCTGGAAATATGTAAGTTGACCGGGAGAGGAAGCTCTTCCTTGAAGCCATTGATGAAAAACCAGGACTTTCGAGATGCGTTTATCTGCGTCTGTGTATATCTCTCTCTATGTATGTATCTATCTCTGCCTCTATCCTTCTCCAGCACTCTGTTTCCTAGTAAGTGGTTTGGCCAAGTTTTCATTTGATGGCGCCTTTTATTTATAATAATAAGGGGCTTTGGTGCGAATGGATAAAGGTCTCCATTTGTACGCGTCAATGAAGAGGGAATGCTAGGGTGCGAGCGGGTTCACGCTTGTTGACATGAGCCCAATTCAGATACGGACACGCACGCAAGCGAAGAGAAGCCAGGGAGGAATAAAGACGAAGCTATCCGGAGACGGAAAGGAGTGGAGACGTGGACCAATGAAGTGTGAGAAAGGTCGAGGATGGGAAGATGAGAAGATCCATGTGAGATGCCAGGATCGCGCCAATTGTGAAGTTTGTGGAAAAAGGTAGACGGAAGGCGTGGGCTCCACCGTGGCCCATCGGCCATCACCCCTGAAGAAACGATACGGTTTTCGGTTCACAATATAATACGGATCATTTTAATTAATTTGTTAGAATTAAAAAATAGCAATTAAATTGTTAAATTTGTCTTAAATTGATTTTTTTTTTAAATTTCTTCATATCAAATCAAGTTGTGAAAGATTTAAAAAAATAACAAGTTACATTTAAACATCAGTTTAAATACAGAAACAATATTAATAATTACGCATTAATTACTCTCCTATTGATTTTTATTTTAGCCATATTTGTTATTCTAAAAGCGATTCATGTCATGGATGCTTGTTATTACCCGGGGGGCGGGGGGAAACAAAAGAAGATATATAGTTATATACTTGGATCTATCCGCACACCTCACGCTGATTATGCCCCTTCCCAACAAAATGTTCCAATTCCACAGCCCTCCATCTAATTTTTCCATAGTCAATTACTTATCAGATGTCCCCGAAGGGACCCATAATTAATTATGTCCATTGCTCTGGAATTTCCATCACCTTTATTTATTCCTTCCCCAGAGGAAATATCATCACCTCCTTTACTTGTTTATTATTCAAGCCTTCTGTTTCATCTGTATAAAGGATGACTTCCATTCATTCACAGTTAAAATTTTCAACCTTTTTTCTGCTTTTATTCCAAACGGTTTGCGGCAAAAATGCAGTACAATACAATAGCACCTCAGCTGTTAAGAACGTGGAGAGTATAGCACACAAATATGGTAAGTAATTAATTATCAAATGTCCAAATAAAAAAAATATTGTTAAATCATGCTTTTCTTTGTTTTTTTTATGTTTAGATGAACCGAGTCTCAAGTTCAATCACCGAATGTCTTTTGACTCAGAATGTTTATAGAAGTATTTAAAATTTGCCTATATATCAATAATGTTTTCACATCAATAATAGAATTTGAACCCATACCTTTGTAAGTCAAGTCTTCATCAATCGAATGAACTTTTGCTGGCCAGTTAAATTATAATTAGTATGCTAACACATAATTTCATGTGTTTCTTTATTCGACACCCAAGAAAGGAGCAAGGCCATTTAAAAGATGGAGAGCGAAGATGCCAAATAGGGCTGAACTGAATTAATAAAACGCGGCCCTCAAATTTGTATCCTTAGTTTTGGATTCTTATTTGAAAAGTATATGCGCAACAACACCTGGATCGATGTGACCAATAAATTAAACATAGTAATTACGAGGTTACTTTAAAACACGCATGTTTAAAATTTTACATGTGAATCTGTAGTCCTCCAGTGATATACATGCATGTGTATAAAGGAACGCAGGGCTGTTGAAAAGAAATGAAAGGGAATATGCCGATCACTGACTCAGCGTGGATCCCCAGAGAAATGAGCAAGTAGCAAATTACGTGTGGGGTTAAATGCATCAATAATTGAGGATAATCTTCACGGCGATATGTTTTGATTACAGAAGATTTACTGAATCGAGGTGAAGGGCTTGAGCAGGACAGTGGAGCAAAGAGAGAGAAAAAAGGGGAGGGGGTTGGAACTTGGAACTTGGAACTTGGGAGAAGGAATTAGGGAACGAGATAAGGTGAAATAAATCAATAATGCGGGAAAAGGGGAAGAAAGACAGAAGCCTAGACAAGCCAACAATGCCACCTAACTAACGGAGCTCTTTCTAGTTTCTACACACAGGACACTGTGGACGTAATAGCCGTCCTTGTGCTTCATGTGGTCATGCTGGTTGAAGGTAAAATAATGAATGAAGTAGGCAGCTATAAGGGGTATTTAACAACCCCTCAAAAGCATTTAAAAAATAATTTCATACATATTCATATAAAATTTTTTTTTACATGTTTATCTGGAAACCCGTGAAGTTATTTTTAAAAAGTCAATACAAATACGCCTAAGACATTTGTTATTGATGCAGCGGGACACGGGGGTTTAAGATAAAAGCATACAACAATTATGAGATAGTATGCATGAAGGGTACGTATGATAATAATAAATGGGCATGTCTGTTGGCAACTGGGTTACGTTGCTTTGTTGTGGGATGAAGGATTTGCCTCTCACCGCGAAACGTGCGTATTTTAAAGGAAAAAAGACAAGGAGGGGTTATCTCTGTTCCGTGGGAGATAGATATTCAGTCTCAGATAAGGATGAGCTTCTCACACGACATCTCACGCTTCTCATCCTCTATCCTACCCCGTTCACCCCCCGCCTAAGTAACTTCCCCCCCTGTTCTTTTTTATTTTTTATTTTAATTAACTCCGCCAAAGGCCGTTTTGATGTTTGGTGGCCATTTAAGAGAGAAGCGTGCTACTTCTCCGCATTTTTTAAACGAGTCTTTTCTTTGACTCCACTGTGCATTTCACCTCGCCTCTTTCATTTGTCCCATGAAAAAAAAAAAACATCATACACTGCATAGCCCACACGCCTCCACCATCTTCTTTAAAATATACGCATCAAATTTTTTTTCATTTTTATTATTAATTAATTATATGTCTCTCTTATTTCTTTTTTCATTCATTCTCTTTTTCACTTGCCCTCTCCATAAATAAAATTATTTTAAGAAAATAAGTTACTTTTTTTTACATATTTATTGTTTTTAGTCAATTTCGGCAGACATTTTTAGTTACGCGATTTAGTTACTTGATACTGATAACTTGAACAAGGGGAGTACATAACACAAATCAGCATGGAGTGATTGCCTCATCTTTTTTCCGTATTTTCCTTTATCATTATGTCTTGTCCCTCGGGTTGATTTTCTCTTCTGTTTTTTTTTTTTTTGCTAGGCACCTGGGTGATGAACTTGATCACAAGATAGTCATTCACGAGCAGGCCAGGCCGGTAAGTTTCAAAATATGGGCCTGACTTAACCCACTTATTGGGCTTCAAAAGCCCATTACATCCGGTAATGTGATTATTATTTCAGGATTCTTTTTTCATGTTGACCCGAAAAAGAAAAAAGGTTTCATTTCTCTTTTTGATCTCTTCCGAATATTGGCTCTGGGAAACAGGAGTTGTGCGTATCAGATAATTACTTTATTAGTTGGTGTAACAAACAACACCTAAAAAACGACGATCCAACTCCACGATGAGAGGCTCTTCTTCTCCGGTTATTTTGAGGAAGCATGTGTCTTTGATATCTGCCTCTCTTTACTTAGGCAGAGATTAAGATCCCCTTCCCCTGCGTCCCAACTCGAACCGCTGGCAGAAAATTCCGCCACTCCTCCCCTCTGGGCCATTAGATGAATCTGATGGAATCTATTCACGCATTTCCAACACACGGGAGGGGATCATATATATTGCTTTCGCATGCTTAAGGCTTGTTTGCATTGCTTATTTTAAGAGCTTATAACTTCATGTAAGTCGAGACATAAAATGTTTGAGATTTGTGTAGGGATTGTTGTGGATAAGCAAAAGGTGGGAGGGAAAAGGCTATGCAGGGGAGGAAGTGGGAGGGCTCCCATAGTGTCGGGCCATAATGGAACGCAATAATGGCTGGCTATCATATTCGTTGTGTTTGTGTTGTACCAACCCTTCCACTTCCAACACCACCAGCCATGCATATTACCCCCCCCCCCCACTCCTCTGCTACAATAATAACTAACCTCCATTAAGGTGCCCCCACGTTCTTATCACAACTTCTCAATGTGTTTCTTAATGCTACTAAACCATGCCACTATGATTCTCAGAGAAATTATAGATGTGAGTATAACGACACTGTCCTGTACCGAATAATAGCCACTGGATCGGAGTGCCCATTAAACGATTTTTCTAACAGCATTCTTTTTTAATAAAAGACCAAAAAAAAAGCTCTAACTTGCTACTTCCGACACATTATAACTTAAATACCTCCTCAATATGGAAATTAGACATGCTGCCTCGGAAATTTATATAATTTCAGGCGTTGTTCTCAAAATTTTTAGTCAAATTTTCAAAGAAGTAATCATCACACACATGTACGTGCACACAGTGAGTTACGCTTCAATCTCATTTATAATATTTATAAATTATTAATAATGTCAGCCACCTAAAAATTCAGAGGAGAAGGTTTGCGCACGTTTATTTCATGTTGATTTTTAAATACATGGGTATATACGTAGAACCCAGAAACACACACACACCCCTTTTTTTCTTGGTTAAAAAAATCCTCTGGACAGGTGCATTGGCGCATACAAGAAAGGGGACGAATAAAAGGGGAAAAAACTTCACAGCCACCCCGTCGCAAGATCAATACACGTGGGCGGATATCAGCCAATGAGCCCAGCAAATTTTGGCAAATAAATTGTATTATATTTGCGATCTGCAAATACTGTGAATGTGCGCCTTTTTTTTTTTTTTGAGTGAAAAGATATTTTATTCAACCGAATATTTACAAGAGAGTCGCCCAAAAAGGAAAAGAGGCAGTACAACCAGAAGGGACTTAATTGCGAGTATGACTAGTACAGGATCTGTGAGCCTTCATAGTGTGATCACAGGGTGCGATGACTTCGTTAACAAGCTGGTAGGGGTCCGTTGCCTCTTGTCTGGAGATTTTGCGATTTCGTGCGTCCCAGAGGCGCCAACATAAGCGACCAGAGATTGTACACCAAGTGGGATTGCTTTTGTGAGTGCTCAGATTCGTCACCAGCCATTCCGTAAAGTTACTCGAATTAAAGGCATGAAGGTGTCGATCCGGGATGAGTAGCTTCCAGCAGTTCATGGCGAGGTTGCACCTGCGTAACACGTGATCCATGTCCTCTCTTACCTCTCCACAAATGTCACACGTATCATGTTCAGACAGTTCAGTCATGTGACGTCTTCGTCTTTCACTGTTCGTGAGGAGTTTGTTGTTCATTGTCAGCCATAAGAATGTTCTTACTCTCTGAGCTCCAGGCCATTGCCAAACCAGCTTCCATTTCGCATCTTCATTGTCCCCTTCATGGGATCGGAGCATTTTATAAGCTGAGCTGACTGTAAAGTCACCCTTTGCGGTGAGTCTCCGAGTTCCTTTTGTTGGGTGATCTTCTTCAGATATTTGAGGCGGGGGGCTTACTGCTATCTGATCTATCGAACGTTCAGGTAGTTGCTCGCGGATTGCATCAATTTTCCAGTTGCCATCATCTGTCACAAAGTATCGTAGTGGAAGCTGGA